TCTCTCCGCCTCCCGACCGAATCTGGCTAAAGCGCCAAGCGCCTGTCCCGCTGCCTCCCCTGGAAGACTATCCCGAGCCGCGCGCAGCACCAACTGAAACGGCAAGCCTCCAGTCTCAACCCCATCCGAGACAGCCTCCGAAAGAAACTGCTCACCGGATCGGACGAACCGCCCCGCGGTCAAGCTCCCAACCAGCGCCGGGTCTCAATCCGCCCGGCGCAAGCTTACCCGGCTATGCCGCTACAGCCTACAGCCTCCTCGCTTCTAGTTTGCAACATCATTGGGCACCATGCATGATGTGTATACGAACTTAGTACTGAGTACGTACGCGTACGACAACTTCAATCTATGCATGCAGTGATTTGCCGGGCCAGTAAAATCCGGCCTGGCCGGGTACGTAAGTTGCAGCTAGGTGCATCTAATGATTCTCAATCATGGCTGGCATGGTTTGTTTTGGTACGGTGCATATCAGTACAATTTAAGTTGGATCCGCAGATCTGCATGAGAGAGGCACATGAGAGAGGCCGCGCGGCTGCATAGCTCGAGCTCCGAACTTCGGAAGCCAGATTCTAAGTATATCGCGGCTTATACAGCCTGTTCAAGCGACCGTCACTGACTGTTTCATCTCGTGTGTGTACGTAGCTTAATTGATCAAATACGCAATGCCGTTGCTGCCATGTATACGTCCATGACTGAAACGGTCTGGTCAAAATATAGCAGTATCCCTCATGTAATGCACGTATGTCGCTGCACCTACTACCTTCAGGCAAGAGACTTGCTGGATGATAACTACATATCGCAAATTAGGTACATGCACGTCGCAGGTCTGATTCAAACTCTTCCACACTCATCGATCATGGGGAAAGAGATTCAACATCAACCCTTAAACTTACTCGACTCCCCAACCGTTGAGCTTTCCATGAATTTCTGAAGATCTTACTGCACTGCAAAGGTGTGCTGGGCACTCATCTTAAAGGTGGTTCACTTCACGATCGGGTCTGCAATGGTACTACACTCTGGCTGTGTCTTCCAAGCATAAAACTCTGAGTGACGCAACGGGCAGTACTGTTACTCAGTAATCTATGACTAATCATATGGGGGGAATCAAACGTAAACTAAACGTAAGCGCAACGACTGTTCCTTACAGTTTAAACGGTGTGAATTTAAGCAAGTCAAACCAGTGCTGTTTTGATCTCAGCCCCTCCCGATCATTCCTGACCGGCGCAAAACCACTCCTCCTCGAATGCTCAACTGTGCAATGCAACCTTGAAAATATTTCTACAAAGCCCGCACTCGCTTGTGGGCGCGGGCTGCCCTTACTGCAACGCTCTTATTTAGTTTACACCTTCATCAAGTAAGGGACGCCGCCTTGATCGAAGCGCCCGCTTTCTACTGCTTTCAAGCTCTCCACTATATACCACAATCCGCCGCAAGCGCCACCTCTCATCAAAAGCTGTCGCTGTTAAACCGAGTCCCGTGGTAACGTCAAGGATCTTCTGTCGGGGGCCACAGTGCCGGCACCTGATAGGCCAACGGATTTGGCGGAAGGAACGCGGGGTTTAAACCCTGTTGCGGAAAAGCGACCGCGCCCGGTTGCAAGAGCGACGCCAGGTACTGTTGCTGGGCTGCGGGCGTCATGAGCCACAACGGGTGCTGCCCAGGGGGGCACCAAAGCTGCTGAAACGCAGCCCCTCCCTGCGCGAGCCGTCCAAAAAGCTCGCTCATCTCCGCTACCATGCTGTCGTTCACCTGCTTGTGCTGTCCCGTTTCCTGTAGCTGCGAAGCCCACCCCATAAGCAAGCTGTTCGCCCTGCCCGTTTCTAGCAGGGAGCTGTGGGACTGTCCGAGCTCTGACTTCGCCGGTGGGTTGACCTCCGGGTTAACCGGACCCAACACTGGAACCGGCGGGCCATACCCGCAATCCATGCCCCCAAGTTGAGAAACCGCCGCAGCGGGGTAGGGGTACGGTTTACAGAGGAGAGGCTGTGGGTCCCCGGCGCCCCCGCCATTATCTCCACGAAAAGGAGCATCAAGCATAGCGCTGCGTTCTGGCGGAACGGGAAGAGAGAAAGGTCCAGAAGGCATCTGCGGCCACCCCGGTCCGATCGCTATCCCGCCCCCGAAACTCAGAGCCACCGGCACAGAGGCTGCTGCTTCCCGACCAGAGACTGCCTTCTCCGCTAAGGTTCCAAAAGCAGGTCCCCGTCCTAGCTGCAAGAAGGTCGGACTCTCTGGATCCGAGCCCCTCTCCCCTTGTACCTGCGCATGTGCTTGCGCCACCTGTCCAGTCCTGAGTAGAGACAGACCCTGGCGAGACCCGCTTCTTGTCTGCTGGGGGGCTGTGTCCTCCCCCCCCGGACTGACGCTGCTGAAGCGGGGGGACCCGTCCGATGCTAACTCCCCTGCCGTTTCCGGAAACCCGACGCGGGCAATCTTGAGCGCCCTCTCGCCCTCGCACTCCGCAGACTCCTCCCTCAGATCCGGCCCCAGGTTTCCCGTACTTCCCCCCCTTCTGTCCCCGCTGTCTCCGTCCCCCCGCCGCCGGTTCCGCTTACCCACGCTCCTCTCTTCCAGCCTACACGCAGCAAGGGCAACCTGTTCGACGTCCGACGATTCGGCCCTCCCCTCCTCGCTAACCCCCGTCCTGAACCCTTTCGTAACCCCAATGCTATCACCGCAGTTCTCAGTATCCTGCACGGACCCCTCCCTTCCTCGCCTGTCGGAACAGTCTCTTGCCCCCCCTACGTTGGACGACTCTGGCCCACTCTCGTAGTTGTCAGCGGCTGGGGGCTCGTTAAGGTCGAGCAGAGCGTGGTTCCCTCTCGGGGGGGGGCCTTCAGACAGCTCCTGAGTGGTGGCGCTGTAAGGGTGGCCAGAATGGTCTGATGCGGCCGATCGTCGCGAACCGCGGGGGCTTACGGAGCGGCCGTCAGGGCCAGAGGAACGTCCGTCCAAGAGGCGCTGGGTGCGGCGCTCCTCCGTCTTACTGCATGCGGCGAGAACCACAAAGTCAGGGGGTCCGACAAGTATGAGTGGGAGATGCTGGTCTCATTTTCCCAACATTGGCTGCCCCTACGAGCTGCTCTTGAAAGGCGGCAAGATCGAGATTGAGCTTTCCTGCACTTCCAGTCCCAGGAGAAGGATCAAATTCAATGGTCGAGAGACCACTCTCAGGACAATATTGCAAGCCCGTCAGCACTGTTCTGGTTATCAAAAGCCAAATCAATCCCCTGCAGTCTTTTCCTGACAACAGACCAATACGAGAGAGGAAACGAACCAGAAACGAATTACCAAAATAACCTGAGCTACAAGATGCCAAACCCCCAACCTCAGAAGCTTCAGTCAAACAAACGAACAAACAAACAAACATCCCTGATGAGCAAGTTAAAGATTTGAGGGAAACTCAGACACGCTGAACTAATTTGATTGCTTACTGGGGATATCTTCCATTTGTGCAGGCAGCCTCACAGCACGTTGACAACGCCTGGATCGAACGAGGGGGACTACCAAAAGAGTTTGGGGCCCATGATGTGGACCAGAATGCCAAAGGCGACACGCCTACAAATAAACCTTTGCCCAACAAAATCAACAGGGAACAAGAGACGGAGCTTGCTCACGTGCGCCGCAGAATCGAGTTGAAGTGGTTCTTAACCGCGTTGTCCGTTCTTCCTGGCAGTAGCTTTGCAATGGTAGCCCACTTGTTTCCGTGAACCGTATGCGCCTGGAGGATGATGTCATCTTCCTCCGCTGTGAAGGGCCGCTTCTCGACATCAGGATTGAGCTGCAAAGCAGACAGCAAGTGAGCAACCCTGCATGCAAGTAGCCTCTACAACTTCACAGACCGCAGGATCAGTTGAAAGATGAAGCAGAAAAGGATGGGGGGAAGCATTTCCAAGTCGTAAACTTTCAGTGGGAAGCACAATGGAAGCTGCCAGAACTGGAGAGTCTGATATGCATAATGCGCACTATCAATGTGCTGTTTGGGCAATTGCTCAAAAGGGCGAAACAATACAAGGTAGCGACAGATGATGGGGATGCATGCGCCGACAATTTTTCGGTATGCTTTCCCTGAGCATTCTCAGTCCTTGATGTCTTTGGTCTGCTTTTACCTATTTTTCCTCTGCACCTATCTGTACACTGAACATGACGTTCATTCAAGGATTCCTCCAGCATGTTGAAGACACTGCTTTGACCTCACAATCACTTAACAGAACCAAGCCACGCACTAACCCTGCCGATATCCATGCCCCTCCCTCTGACATTGAGCCAAAAAGAACGGCCTTGCCTTCTGGAAACAAGGAACAAGCCACCAGATGCAAACCGTCCACAACTGAGAGCCATGTTTTAGAAAAATGAACACCGCCGACAACCTACAAGCTGCTACGAAGGTACAGGCACAATGCGTCACGCACCTGGTTGCACCATCGCAGCCTGCAGCTCTTGGCGCTGCGGCCGGCCATGACCGGCGATATGAAGTGCCAGTTCCGGGCCCCAAACTTCTTGACCAGTCGGCTCAGCAGATTGTCCTCCTCAGGGCTCCACCAGCCTTTCACCTGCTTGCAAACAAAACTTAAGTTCATTGGACAATGGGGAAGGCAACAAGCAGGATGACCTGCTTAGGAGAGGGAGGATGCCTACCCTTTCAGGGCACTGCAAGCAGAAACAATGTGGAACGAAACCCTTGGGAAAGACACAGGATGTTTGGCAGCGGCATTGTCAATTGACCGGCTGAGCTTCACAGGGATTGGTATTGAGTTCTAAGGGTCCCGATGCATTGTATTACTCCATCTGGAATTGAAAAGGATGATTAGGCAATTGATGGAAGCTGAACACAAAAGGCAAGCTAAAATCGTTATGAACACGTCCTACTAAAATATACGCATCTGATACAGTTGTTCATGCAATCACAAACAGTGAACCTCCCCAGAATCTTTGAAAGTTTCACAACAAAATGGCCTTGCTGTAGCTGACAGAGGAAAGTGCAGGTCAATCTGTTTCTGTCAAGGAAACTTGGCGATGTAACTAAGGAATCAACCACTTCAAACAAGTAAACCCATAAGCAGATTTCATCTCAACGATTTGTCCACCGGGGTATTCGATCTAAGAGGCCTCTCCAATAAAAGCGCAGCCATAACGTGCGACAATGTGAGATAAGGTAACTTCTGCCAGATATTGAACACCCCTAAACCCAAGTCACTGAAACCCTTTCTACTCACAGCTCATCAATCACTTTCATCGTCTCCCAATATCCGTACCGCAACTCCGATAAGGTCAAGACAGCACATGCTGGATTGCCAGACTCTCTCGTTTAAGCGATTGACTTTGTAGCAGCGGGTAGTCAAGCTCACCTCCACACCATCGGGACTTCCCATGTACTTCCTCCACTTGGCCACCGACTGTGCCAACCTCTGCAGTTCTTTCTCATCCTCATCTGTCCAGCCCTCTTGAGCAAGAACGGCCCACCTAATCTGGCTCTCAGTCCACCGTGCTCGCTGGTTCTCTGTCGGTACCTTGACCTGGCCGTCCCTAATATCTTCAGCAGCTGCAGATGAGGCCATGCTGTCCAGTACAGTGTAGCCCGGGCTTAATTAACATTTAACAAACACCTATTCTAGAGTACCCTGTTGCCTAGATCTACCTGTTGGTTTTGCGCTCGGTTGCTCATGTCACTATCTGTTGGTAGCGCTCTTTGCGGAGCATCATGTATTGGTTCACGCCTGGAGCGTGCACGAACAGGAGCCTCCGAATCAATCAAGCATCCAGTAAAATCAAACTTTTCAAATCAAACACAGTCCAAAAAACCAGACCTCCCGCCAACACTTGGGCACACAACAATCCCCAATACATTTGCCCACCCCCCATTGCGCATCCTCACCCCCGGGGCCAGCCCATTGATCTTGTCGCCCAGGTCACCTTGCTGCACTAGCTCGAACCCAATTCCGAGCAAACCTGGCCCCCCTTTCAAACGCGAGTGCAGACCTGCCTTCCTCCGACTTTGAGAGACCCTTGCATTGACAAACAACCGTTTCCATGGAGCATCCATTCGATATGCCCCAGAGAAACTGGTGCCTATGCCTGTGAATCCGATGAACAGAGGCACGCACGCCGGCCCGCGGAGGGTGCCATTCACGAGAGAAGCTGGAGCACAACCGTATCTGGAAACCGCCCCTCAGCTAGCGCCTCGGCCCTCGGGGCCTGCGACGGTTTCAAACTTTCAAAGTTTCATGGGATGGCGTACCTGTAGGGGCCGAACTGTATCGCCGGTGGGGCGTACGGTATGCACAGAGCACCTATGATACCTACTGCCCAAACTGTAGGCACCTGCCGTAAGTAGGTAAGGCAGATGAGTGTGAACAGGCACGACGTTGGATCGGATGATATCGAAAGAGGAAGCTAGACGTGCGGTTTACCGATTCTACGGTAGGTACCTAGAACCCACTGCCCAGGGGCCAGTACGTACTTCCGGTACCTGCCTACCTACATGTGCGAGTTGCAACGGTTGCAACCGTGCCAGTACCGTACGTGTGCCACCTCGCCACATGCTGGTGACGGCGCTCGCGGCTCCACCATTGGAATTTGGCACCAGCCGGCGGCCGCACGGGCATGAGGGTAGGTACCTGGTAGGTACCTACCTACCTTTTGGCGCCGGCTACCTTTTGCGGCTTGCCACTGGTTTTGGCTGATGTCAGCTGACAAGCGTTCAGGCTTTGCTACTGGCCAGATAACCGGTATGGTACCGTATTAGTAACCTGAAAGATACCGTGCCTGTAGGCTGTACCGTACCTGTAATCTGTACAGTGTAACCTGATTCCTGAAAGATACCTACCGTACCGTAGGTACCTGTGACCTGTAAGATAGGTACCTAGGTACATACCTAGTACAATGTACAGCAGGTACAGAGGTACCTACCTCTAACCTACCAAGTAAGTTGTAACCGGTCTACTGGTACCTGCTCCATAATGATGAGTTGGAAAATCATCATACTTGGTAGGTAGTGACGTAAATCACTCCCGACTTCCGACTCCTCGACTCCCGAGTCCCAGGGCCACGGTGGACCGTGGCACAGTCAGTCGGATCATGGATGTCCACGGCCCAGAGTCCGATCACTGCAATCAGTGCTCACTGCTGACTCACGAGTCACGAGGTGCCGGACTGGATTTTGCGCAGTGGCGTATCGCAGATTCGGTAGAACGAGAGCCGTAGATCGGTGTAGAATTCCCAAGTAGTTTAGTTGGACCATTCAAAGTTGCCAGTGTGATCATCGATGTATGGTAGGTAGATCCCACCGTCCGTCCGTCGTCTGCTCCGGGATTTCGATCAGCGCTGAAGTCGCAGCAATGATGCATGACTTCTGTCGAGACTCGAATCATGGATACCTCATCCAGCGCCGCGTGGAGCTTGCTAGCTTCCGCTCACAGAAGTGTGTGCACTTTGTACTATGTAGGTACAGTGTACACAAAGGTTACCGTACGTACGGTACAAAAAAGCCGGCTGCTAGAGCAGTGTTAATACCACGATCGAGGTTTTGAGATGGCCGGCTGCCCAGAGGGGCACCCTCGAAACAGTCGGTTGGAACTTCAAGGAAAGGGTCTGGACTCTGTTGGTCGGTTTACCAGGGCGGACCACTTTATATTTGGTCGGTTCTCAGTGGGCCGGATGATACTTCTCGATTTCATGTTGACTAAGAGCATGTTGACTAAAGAAGTGCTCGGGGACACAAACAAACTAAAAACCTAAACCCACAGTTAACACGCTCCGCACCGGCGTAAACACCCTAACCCCCAATCCAACCCTACCCGTCCCCCGGGCGCCCTCCTTAGTCAACATGGTCCTTAGTCAACATGAAATCGAGACAAGTGGCCGGTTGGGACTTAATTCGAGGCCGGTTCCGTGGGTCGAACCTTGCCAGCTGCTTTGCAGAGGCACTGATCTGGCCAGTTTCTCGAGTGACACTGCACTGAGTAGGTATTGTATATCATACCGGCGTTGACCCAGTCACAGTATCAAGGATCCTAAATGTACAAGTAGTGCCAAGATTTGAAGGAAAGGTCTACCGACCACTTCCAGCCTAGCCGGTTGGGACCGACTTCTTAGAACGGGCCGGTTCAGCGAGCCGACCACCCTCATTGTGGTCGGCTCTCCAGCCGGCCTTCGGCCGGCTACTTCGCTCTGAGTCGGTCACTTGTGAAGGTGGTCGGCTGCAATACCCACTGCAAGTCGGTTTGTGGTAAAGGTAGGATAGGTACCGTGCCAGCCCCCCGAGCTGACATTTCTGAGATCTCTTGCTCAAACTTCATGCAGTACGTTCATCATGCAACTAGACGTGGGCTAGGAGGATACCCCCCGATCGAGGGCGGTATCCTCCTAGCACGGTTTATATAGCTTCGGAACAGCGCGTGGAGAACCCGGGCCGTATTGAGAGTGGTAGAAAAGCAGTTTGTGCCCGGTCGGCGGTGACCAACATCGATATACTCCCCGGGTACCGTCGAGCACTCGGTACGTCCTGAATCTACACATGTGGTCGAGGCCGTCGATGCCTCGGCTCAAGTGGCATCGACAGTACTACTGAAGTACTGAGAGTCTGAGACCTTGAATCTACTTTGATTTAGGAATTCTTTAATCAATATATTCTGGCGTTCCGTCCGCTTATCATTACAATATAATGATTGATGAAAGCATCGCAACGGGGCGCCAGAGAAACGTGCGCATTGAACGGTTATCAGAGGCTTTCAGTAAAACAACTGAGCGGTCGATGAAGCAGCTTGGACCGGCCGACGGTATGGATCAGCAAATAACTTGTCGTTTTGTGGCACGAGTCCGAAATTTCGTTAATTTGCAGCGTGGCACGTGAGAAGGTTTGTTGATTCTAGGTGTCTCCTAGCCAACTAGAATGGGCTAGGAGCCCTTCGGGCTGGTCCCCTCCTAGTATGGGCTCCGAGTCCGAGCCCGGGACCAACAGAAACCGGGTGTCAAAGGGTCGGAGGCGAGTCTGCCTGGCCGGGCGGATTGGACCGCGCCCAATCCGACTCGATTACAGCGGTCTAGTCGTCGACTCGTCTTTGGAAACTTACTTATACCGACCATTGCTGAAATGCCCGGTGGATGATTGCCGGCCGGTTGCGACTCTGGCCGGTATATTGGCTTGCCTTCCTAGGCAACCCTTAGGATTCCATCACGGATTTGCTCGATTTCGCCGTATGCGGGGCGGCGCGCGCCGGGCGGTTTCGGCGGGTTCGATTTCGAAAGTCTTAGATCTGGCTCCCCAAAATGGGCGGATAGGGCGCAAATCGAATGTCGACTGGGCCCCGGGAGCAAAGCGGCGTACCTGGTGATATATCGAAAATTTCCGGTTCGACAGTCCTGTGCCAATCTTTTCAATCTTCGGTTCAAGTACGTACATACGACACTGGACATTGTAGTGGAATGTTCGATAAGGTGCTACACTCCGGGCTCCGCAATTTTCGGCCGTACTCCGCGCTTTTCGGCAATATAAGGCAAGTCGGTCGGTATTGACGTGCTTCGATCGGTGATGACGTGCTTCGTCGAGCTTTCAAAAGGGGTTATGTTTCGGGTTTGTTTGATGGCTGTGATTCGAGCTTCTGCCTCTGGGTTGACGCAAAGAAAACCCAGAAAGTTCAGGGAGACATGTTTGCATATGCATGAGACCGGGTTCTTTTCCCGGTACGGTTGAAAAGTATGTACCGTACGGTACTAGGTATCATCAATGGCAAGCCACGGTCCCCCGCAGGGGGACTGATCGGTTCACCGCTTGTTAGCTAGGTACTATTAGCCGCAAAACCGGCTTATTCATGCTACCTACCGTAATACCATTTCACCGTTCAAGTTTAACCGTGCCACGCTAATAGTCCGGATATCGCCTCGCCGTCGAAGTTGCCAAAGGGTTTTATGATAACAGATTTCATCATAACTGTCTTCCCGTCTGCGGTGGTGTAGGTATAGCCTATAGGGTATCAGCGACAGGTATCTGCCTGCCACGTGATTCGACTTCGAAACACCTTTGATGGCTCCCAACTTCCAAGCAAACCGGCTGAGCAGAAAACCTGGGACGAGCGAAGGAGCCGCACCCTGGGAGCACCCGCGGGCCGCTCGTTCAACTTCATGGTTGTCAACTTGTCTGCATGAGAGCTGAAGGAAATATCGACCACCCTAGCTTTGACAGTGCGGGCCCTTTCTCCGTCGTGTCGAGCAAGAAAAGGTGCGATCAATGGTTTTGCAAAGGTTGGTGCATCGTATAAGAGAGACGTTGCAAAAGCCTCCCTGATTCTGCGGGTTGCGTCTGTTGGAAGTTTGTATTATACTGCTTGTCTCTACCGTATTTCGTGTTTTCGTTAGAAAGAATTCATTAGATCTTCAACTTGGTTCCAATCAATTGCTTAAGATGGACTGGTGCAATCACTTTGTTGAACAGCAATTATTTTCATGCTCTTGTGGTGCATGGACAGTCGACATATGTTTTGCAACATTTCTCCAGAGACTCTGCTTTCACGCTTTACCAATCAGAGGCATATAATGGACATGTGGCAAGAAGCCAGTAGATGATATAAGCAATCACAACTGCTAAGAAACCCTAGCATCCAACAATTGATACGATTGCGGAAACTCATTCATAGAAACCGTGCCTCTAGATTTTGGTGCTGTCCGCTCTTTACTTTTGCTTGAGGTTACCGAGGAAATATCTGCATTCAGCATTGTTAGCAAACACGGCCCCGCATGTTATGCAAGAAAGACATCGTTAATTGTCGTGGTGGCAAAAGAATATGTCATTTTAGGGTTCTGCCTCAGTTGGTAGCCTTTCTGATGTAGGTAGACAGATGAGTTGTTCTTCCTTCCGTAAGTGGTCTCAAATCGTCAAACATATAAGAGAGTTATGCAATTTTTGCGTGGCAAGGCAATTTGTCGGTTGCCTTTGTGCAAACACTGTGCTCTGAGGCCCGATCACTTTTGCCAAATCCCCTAGGACGAACAGTTTCCCCACATTGGGTGACTGCACAAGCTGTCGTACTGTGCGCAATGTTTCGTGCGCGCTTTCTCAATTACTGCAATCTTGGTGAATCCAGGTCCGTCCTTCAGTTCATTGATTGGGGATTTGTTGGAGGATGGGAAGGATTTTTCACCAATTCACGGTGGGCTTGTGAGTGGGGACAAGTAGATGTGTCAGTGCCTCGCTGACTAGGGTTGAAATAAAAACTTTCTGCTTTGCGCATCTGCAGGTTCCAGCATTACGTCGAGTGGATTAGAGTTGGATACAAGCTGTCTATCAACAAGTGTTCAATTTGCGACGGCAGAGACAGAAGTTTTGTGGGCAGAGTTTGAAGCAAGCAGGGGAACCCGTTCACTACTTGCTGCCAAGAAAGCGTCTCGTATTAGAGAGCAAGACGTTACCATTGCTGGGTACATTTGAATCCGGCGTTCGCTGGTGTCGCTGAGCGGGAAAAGACTTGTAGTCAAGTGTGAAGCATAGTTGTAAGTCTCAAGGCGCAGCTCTGGTCGGAGTTGGCTGCGCGCCCAGGTTGCAAACTGTGACGAGAGCTTTCGTGCAAGTATTAAGGTTGACTTGGGACTTTAACCTGGGAGGTTAGCCATGTCTCGCCCAATGGCCTTGGGCCTGATTCTGCTGGTTTTGTTCCTAACTTCTCAGTCAGATTGGAAACCCCCCAAGGAGGCGCAGGACGAGAGCGAAGTAAAGGGGAGCAAGGCGGACTTGCATCGGGAAGAAATCAAAGAGAAGGTGGGAGTGAATATCTTACAATTTGCTCTCGATGCGGTGTCGAACGATTGAAGTCTTCAATCTTGCAACAAGCAATTGAGAGCGTATAGCTGTGCCGAGTCCTCTTCAGAAGCATCTCTGTTTGGGTTCGTTCTTTTTCGCACCCCCTCTCCAGTAACGTTACATGGCTGTGCTCTTCTCCAGGGGATGTCTTGCTCACAGATGCTAACAGCGTTCCGATTTCAGTATCTGGATCGATGGTGCATGTGCCCAGGCGGGGCTTTATCTTTCATCGCCTATGTCAAGGAGGCTTGTTGATAGGACTCTTCACTTGAGGCGATGGTATCATTGCTTCTACGTTGGTCTGATTACTTGTACCTTATCCTGCTATGGTGAACTTTCAACGGAGTCTGGTCCTATTGCCGCAATTTGCTCCTGGCCTTGATGCAATCGTCCTTTCCATAGCTTGTCTTGCGAGAGACCTACGACTTCAGTTGTCAGCCGATGCCTATCGCCTATGTTGACTGACATTTCATTGTTCAAAGGCTCTCAACACCAAGCTTGCTTGCAGACATCTCGGATGGTCGAGATCTTGCTGCAGAATTGAGGTCATGACAATTCAATAGCTTTCTGTTCGCATTGATGATACCTGCTAATAAGGCTGCTTGGAGGAACGTTAACAGAAATTCGCATCGGGCTTGTTGCTGGGCTTTGTCTCTTCGAAGAGAACGGAGAGTATCAAGCTCCCCGGGTCAAGATTGGGGGCCTCAGCTCTTAGACTCGGAGTCAATAAAGCTCGACTCCCCCCTCCTTTATTTGAAGATCTGTACAACGAAACTGGTTTGCGGGACAATAGTTGTAGACTACAGTGTCCTGATTGGTCGTATGATTGTATGCAACCTCACGCAAGGCAGTCTTGTGCTTTTCCAGATCATCGTCGATCTGACGGCCCACAACAAGCGGCTCGAATCCGCGAATCTGAAGCTTCGCACCATGGTGTCAAACGTCCAGGACTCCCTCAAAGATTGCGGGTGTGTCTCGCCGTATAACACCACCGCTTCGTTCCTCGAGCTTGAAGTTGGGTCCCAACAAGAGCCGAAGGCTGCTGACGTTTTAGAGAAGGAAGAAGTAGAGCTGCTCGGGGGGAGCGCGAGCTCGGGGAACGAGCAGTTGGGACAGAGCCGGTTAGAGAAAGTTAGGATGGGGCATGCTCTGGCAGGGGGGGTGCATCAGGGAGCCGAAGGTGAAGCGGATGCCCTGACGGTCTCCAAAAGAGAGCTAGGTATGGGTGGAGGGGAGCCATGGCGGCAGCTAGGGGCAGGGAGGGGGTATGACGAGGAGCAGACTCTGTTGGGAGAGGCTGGCTCATGAGAGGCAACTATGATCATTTGGAATGCTTGACGGATTTCGTAGGGGCAGCTTAGTATACCGGCTGAAGTCTTGCACTTTCGTGCGACGGTGTTCAAAATGTACCATATTGTGAGTTGACAGATCAATAGTTGTGCATAAACCCGACCCTAGTAGATATTTCACACGGTGTGGCAGATTCTTGCACAGCTTGCATGCATTGTCAATTCCTGCCATACGTGACATGTACCAACGTGTGACTGCGCAGCGTGAAACCATCCATGTGTCATCGCTCTACATCCAAGGATCTACGTCATGCATATATAGTGATCGGATTATGCGATGAGCATGCTAGTTTGGTACTAAGTCATGCATTGGTGCATCGTGTGATGCATTATACAATCACATATGTACTCGCAGAACGCCAGATCTCAAAATGGCATGCAACGCGCGTTTGATCCTAAGAGCTGTATCCCGCGCGGCATGTGTGGCTGAAGTTGACAGAGTGCTTCTAGTTGGCCCCAATTATTATGTACATGCTCAACAACTATTGATCCGTACCGACTACTGTAATTCCCGGGGACTTTTGGCCATACCGCAACGGTTCTAAACATAGGGTGCTAATATGATCCGGTGGATCATGGATGGCAGAGGGGTACAGATCGATGTTTTTGCCATCGGGCGATTTGCGGTCAACTTAGGATCAATTTTGCTGCACCGACCAGTAAGGCAGCCTGCAGACGTCTATCATAGTATTATCGCGTTATTGCTGCAGAATATGAACTTCGAGAAGAGATTAACACCAGAAAAAACCTTCTGCTCCTCAGGAATTGACATAGATGGACTTGATCACTGTCAACTTGACGGCTGAGTCAGACCGACCGACTAGAGACAGACCACTTGGGATCTAAATGACCACCTGCGAGATCGCTATTGGAATGAGGCGACTCTGTGGCAACAGGACGGAGGGACACATCACAATCACTGCTGCGAATGCTGAAGGAAGCTCCCTACCAACTGTTGCGTCAACGAAGGTGAGAGCTGCCCGCTAGGCCCGTTGTCCACTCTCTGCGTTGTGTCTGCTGCCTGCAACGATTGCGCCTGCACCGCTTTTGCGACCGCGTCCCTCATCAGGGCCATGAACGGGTTCGATTGCAGTTCCGAGGGTGTCACGGCCGTCGGAAGCTCGTCCCCGTCCCCAGCTCCGGTCGCTTGCAGCATCGGTCGCATCGCTTGCGCGACCGCCGTGCTGATCACGGAACTAAAGACGGCACTAGGGTCCCCCACTACATCACTGCCGGAAAGGGGCGCACCAGTTAAGGGTCCAGTCGCACTGCCGATTGGCAAGCCCGGAAGCTTCGGATCGTCTCCCTCCCCTTCTTCAAACATCTCCTGCGAGAGGAGAGGTCCTCGCACCCCCCGGCCCGGGTCGTCCACGCCGGATCGGCAACATCCCCGGCCGCAGTGGTTGGGGACGACTGAAACTGGTCGTGAGTGAGGGGACCGGCTGGTGGAGCTCGAAGGGTGGCTCAGCGACTGGGGGGGAAGGGTTAAGGACAGGAACGTCGCCTCGGAGGTCTCTGGTCGGCTGGAGGGGGGCTGGTGCAGGGAGGGGTGGTAGAACGGAGTGCTGGCCGAGGGCAAGGGTTGCTGGGCGGTGGTGTAGTGCCCCAGGTCTAGTCTGCGCAGTGAAAAAGGGATGTCCAAGCGTCAACAGGGTAAACCTTTTCGTCTTCACAATGCGTGAGGGGGAGACATCAATCGTTCTTGCCTTTCATCTATTATTCTGTCACGCCTCGCGACTTAAAGAAGTAGCGCCCTGCCTTTGACTATTCGCGTAACTCGTAAGTGGTCCGAAGGACCAGAAAGCCACCCACTTCAGGCTCCAGCTACCACCTTCTACCAATCAAAGCGACGCTAATTATCATGGCAGCTCTCCAGACACAACAGTAGAGCTGGCCGGGAGCACGAGCAAGTTCGGTAAACCAACCACAACTTGACCCACACTCTAACCCTACTGGTCTCACAGTCCTGCAGGACAAGTGTAAGCGCCGGTTACTCTACAAGACCCCAATTTCGTAGGCCTCACCTTGCCCGCTTCGCACTCTCCGCCAACAGCTCCTGTGCACTCGACTGGCTATGCTCGCTATCCCCAGCTTGCCCGTCCAGGTCCCCATCAACGCTGTACGACCGCTTGCGTCCGAAGATGTCCACAATCTGTCCGTCAATGTCCAGGAAGCGCCGGGACAGCGTGCTGTTCCAGTGGTTCTTGATGGCGTTGTCAGTCCTGCGCGTGGAGCAGTGAAAAGATAATGAATAGCAGACTTTGTGGGCGGATCTGAGGGACCTCCGTACGGAGTGCTAGGCCAACTAGTCCCTTAAATATCGTCCTTGCTCGACAGAACCAGCATCCCAGTGACTTACGAGTAAAGGAAGTTTTGATGCTGGTCCTCTCTCCTAAAAAGTTCCGCACCTTCCCAAGTAGCTTCAATTGAAAGCGTGCCAGCGCAACCAAACGGACCGGTAACTAGAGTAAGGTCATCTGGATTAAATGCGGATGTTGCAACTGTTGAAGCTGCCTAGCCCTCAGCCAAGTGACAAGCTGTGCCCCCTTTGTCTGGAAGCAGGTCACTAACACCAATCGAGGCAACAGCATCAACCGTGTCGTCTGCAGCACTTGATCAAAACACGGTTCGTCGGCAGCCTGGTGACCCTCAAAGTAACAAGGGCGTCTCAACGTGAACCGAACGGACACCGATTGAGGAGGTCACTCACCGGCCCGGAAGCAGACGTGCGATGGTCGCCCACTTGTTGCCGTGCTCCGCATGCGCTGCGATGATCTTGGCGTCCTCCTCATCCGTGAACGGTTTGCGCTTAACCTGCGGGTTCAGTTGGTTGCACCACCGCAGCCGACAGCTCTTGCCACTGCGGCCCTGGATCCCCCGTGCTGCAGCAGACAAGAAGGGTTACTTAAACCCAATAGTGACCATGTAGTAACCAAGTGTTAGTGAGAGTGAAAGTAACCGTGTTGTAAACAAGTAATCTGGAAGCAACTAATCAGAAAGCAACTGATCATCCAAGTCTAACTACAATTACCAAGCAAGTCTGCATTGCCCATGGGCAGATAAGATGATGTATGAACGTTATTAACCCCTTAAGAGCTCCCTCAGGTCTGTAGCAAAAGATTGAGGCAAATCCATATTCTAGCTGTGCGCTTGACGATCCAGTTTCCAAGAATTCCCCCCATTCAGGTTGGAACAGAATCGAACGTACGTAAGTGCAAATATGTGCACCTAATATCTTGAAGTCAGTCATGCAGTCAGGGCCACCTGCTCTGGATCGTACCAGCCACGCAAGTAAGGGGCCCCTTTTCAAAGTTGCAGCATTGCTTGCTTTTGCAACGCGTCGGAGCGTTCAGAATTTTCGAGGCAAGGTGGGCTATGAGAGCAAGGTCTTAGAGAGGACAACCAGATTGGTAAACACCTGAAACGCCAGAAGAGCCAGGACAGAGACTAACGTGAAGTAGGCAATGCAGGAAGGAGAATGACAGATGTGCAGAGATTCTGTTGACAAAAGCTACCTGTGGCCATGCCTGAAACCCTAGTTGCGCCAAGTCAATGAAGCTCGACCAGTCTGTAAGTACATCTACATATTTATACCACCATCATCCGGTGCAAAGGAGCAGGAAAACGAGCTATTTGGTAAACCACGGCACGCAGAATGCAAACAAAAGCATGGTGCATCATTGATGGCACACACAGATGCAGCCATGCTGTTGGTGTTTGACGAAAAACAGACTGCATTTTACGACGAGGCCATTTCGCAAGACAAACCTGCTTCACCTGATCCTTTGTCGGACAAGAGGGATTTATAGTTGCATTGCTCATCAAGACCAAACGAGGACCAAAGACGAAGCACAGCCAAAGAAGCAGCATTTCCAAAGCGAGCAAGCCGACTTTATTCCAGCCTCCTTGGAAACAAAAAGCTGGCTTAGATCTTTATCAAGGGAGTGATGACAAGCAGTGCAGAATAAGGTGCCAAATATGTCACCATCAGCTACTTGTCGCAGTAAATATCCAATTGCGCAGCAATGTAATTGGCCCGCATACTTGCAAGCAAGCAGCTAATGAAGGGTGGCAACAAGAAGAGCTAGACCAGGTACATCGTTTGAACAAGACTTGACAGCACACATTGTTTCCACATGGCAAAAATCAGGACAACGCATTTTTTTTTTGCTAGCTCGGACACTGGATAAGCACTCGCAAAACGATATTCAAAAAGAGAGGCAACATCAAAGCTCAGAGTGATGCGGACATAGAGACGCTTCAAACCTGCCAGAAGCATCCGTCCTCACCTATCAGCGTCCAGTTTCTTGGTCCAAAATGCTCGACGAGTCGATGCAAGAGATCGTCTTCGGCTGCACTCCAGGGGCCTTTGATTGTTTCTTCCCTGCTGACGTTGTTTGGCGCAGGTCCCTGCCCTTCCCCTCCGCTCAAATGGCTCCCGGCGCCGCCGTCCCCTTCTCCTCTGCTTTGGAAACTTTCATGTCCTGTCTGGAGCTGTTGCTCCTGACCAATTTCAGAGCTCATGCAGGCAATATAGTAGAGCCAGCAGATAAGGACTAATTTCAAGCCTTGCAGAAAGCTGCTTCTTGAGATTTGCCCAGAAGGGCCAACGACCAGACTGAAACAACCATTGAAGCTACTGCATAATGCTGCAAAACAATCCTGCAGGAAACCCCCAAGCTGTTGGACGTTAATATTCGAGAGGATTTTCCTGATAAGGTAGATCCACCTCCGTTTGCTGAAAGACAACTATAGCGAAAGACTACCAAAAGGGTTTTGTACGGCAGCATGCCTCCTTCTTAAACTGGCAGCAGACTCCTAACATGTCATCGGAAACGAAGGCGAAAGACTCAAGAGGGATCTGGCCCCCGTCCTTTTGCCGTCTGCTATCTCTCTTGAATTTGAAAGAGGGGAAGGCTGGAGGAAGGCTGAGATTCACGAAGGGCATATCAACCTTTTGCATAGACTCAAAACTGACTCCTCAAACGCCACATGAAGCTTCAAGCAACCCGCTTCATAACCGAAATCTTCACAGAGGGAGCTATCCTGACCATCCATTCAAAGGCGGCAGCCCTTTGCATCCGTTCGATGATGGCTGCACTGATCTTGACCGTAAGATTTCCAACCGCCATGCAGTGACGTATTACCGTGTCGGACCGCAGATTGTCCGTTTCGCGGCCGCCCTCCGCGTTTTTTGTCGAACCCAACCCCTCGTAAACCCCTGATTCATGGTGGCGCGACTGGATGAAGGGGCGCGGCGGCCTCCTGTACGTCGCATAACAGGCGCTGAGGTTTCCCGCCAACTTGTCTGGCTCTGGGCTGAAGATTGAAACAGTGAAAGCATGCAACTACCTGGTCTCCGCACTGCAAATCAACGTTGCCCTTTGATTCTTGCGCCAATATATATCAGGTCCGTCAGGAGAACTTGCTGACTATGGCTGCTCTAGCAGCCAGCAGGGTAATCCAGCAGACCTGCACGCCGTTTCTCACATCTCGAAGCAGAAATCCACGGAAGCAATGGGTGCATGCTTCGCCGGCGTGCGGCACATGCTCTTGGCAATCACCAAAGCTTTTGACTCTCCAAAGCTCGAACATATTTCAGACTAACGATCTCCCTGTTGCATCCAGTCATCGTAAACTGTCTTCAAAGAGCAGGGATAAGCAGAGGTTGAGTGCCCTCGCTACAGAAACTGAGTTCGGAGGCAACGACGGTGGTGGAAAAAAGGGTACTGGGGTCGGCGATGGGGGGGGTGGCGGTGGGGGAGGGTCTGGAGGAGACCAAGGCGGGGGGCCAGGTGATTTTGGACCAGGATTTGGGGGAACAGGTGATGGCGGGAAAGGCCCGGAGCCACCATTGAGCCTCTGGCAACAGTAAGTGGGCATTGGGCTTGTGACGCGCCGCCGTACTTGCATTTGAAAGTTAGGGTTTCCATCGCTTGATGTTTCGTAGCCAAATGCCATGAGCTTGATCTCCTTCTTACGCGCATGCAAGTTGTTGCAACAGCGGCAGCATTCGCGAGTGGTTTTCATCTTTGGTAGCGGAATTGGACTGTGTTCATTGAATTGCATCGGAACGGCAAATGCACGAAGGATTCTAGGTTCTCCAGCAATTGCTCAAACGCGATGCAAAGGTGCTATCTCAAGTTCTTCTTGATTCAGCCAAAATCTTTTGAGTCCTGCAGCCTGGGAGTTTTCTGCCCCTTTCTGATGCCATTGATTTTACATCCAGAGATCTTGAGAAGCATTGAGCTGGATTGTGACAACCGCTCGAAGGGGCACTTGCTTTATAACGTGGATCGTAGAAGCAATCAGCAACTCTAGTAGCAACTCCTTCCATTCTGGGCTTCCTGTGGCAGGTCTTATTTGTGTGACTCTCGTTGTCTCTCTTTTAGGTACCTCGCTCTCTTAGAAAGCCACCCGGTGCTCACCAAGGCAATCACTTCTTCTTTTCTCAACTTTGCCGGAGACTTGCTGTGCCAGGTAAGATACTCCGAAGCACTCTCTGGAGATGAAGGAACGCTTTTCACAAAATCGTCAGCAGCTTTGCTTGCTCTATAGTAGAAGCCATATCGCTTTAGGTTGGTAAAGGACACCTGTCCACGAACACAGCTTTCCTATCTTGATTGCCACATCATACTCAGTTCTTAAGTGTTGCCAAGATCCGCTGAATGATCGATCAAATGTGTATACGAGCTGAACTCAACTTCCTGCACTTCAAAGTCGTCTCAATCTGAAGCTGAGCTGGTTGGCAGGTCCGCTTAGAACTTACAAGGTATTCATTTTTCGCTCTCGTCCAGACTGTGATTGAGAAGAAGAAGGAACTGGACTTCAGACGAATGGGCGTCATCTCTCTCATTGGCCTCGTTTTGGTGGGGCCTACCCTGCATTTCTGGTGAGCAAGCTGAGCGCTTTTCCAGAAGCTGTTGCTCCCCAAAGCTACGAGCAGTGGAATCATAAAGGCTTTATTGAACATTGCAGCTTCAGCGCTTCCAAACAAGCCACTGGGTGTTGATCCGGTTATGAGATTGGAGATGGCATCAACGATCAGTGTGCTGGCCGGTCGCTTCTGGCCACTTGGCAGAAGTAAACCGGCTACTGAGTGTTCAAGATCCGTCCAGCCGACCTGGCTTCAACCTATCGAACTCGGTCAGGACAAACGGTCAGGTTCAAAGCAAGCCTCAAGTACTACAAAGCGTTCGCATTTCCAGCGTGCACCCTTTCTGATTTGCCTTGTAAATTGGGCGTCGGGGACTGGTTCCCCCCAGGGGACCACGTAGTGCCCCATGGTGCTGACTTGGTCGCCAAGCCAATTTTCAAGACAGGGAGTGTGTGGGCCTTCGGATGAGTTTCTCCCCTCATGACTTGGATGCTCTGTTCCTTGGAATCTGGCACCCTTTTTAAGGGCCAAGTATGCACCATGAAAACCAAATCTGGGGAGAGGGAGTGCGAAGCGTTGCGGAAGGAAGACAAGATGGACCTTGAGTTGTTTTCCAGGTACGGCCTCCTCAATCGGACGGTGAAAATTCCTGGGGGAGCAGGCATCGTTTCTCGGCTGGTCCTTGATCAAGTGAGTACTGGCAGGCAAGGCCAACTGAAAACTGCTGCAGCCGAGTTTGACCGTGAGGAGAAGCGGCTGATCTGTCGACTCTGCTTGGGTCGGGCGTCAGTCAACCTCCTCCTGCTCAAGCAGAGGAGGTCGGGCGGAAGACTCTGCTTGAGCTTCCCTTACTTTGTTCAGTATATCGTTTGGCAATTGTCTGCCGACGCTTTGATGGTCCATTTCACCTCACCTGTTCGATAGTAACGTCGGGCGCCTTTTCTCCATGATATGTCGCTCTCGAATCTGATGCGTTCCTACCATCGGTCTTCACCGTCCAGGCAGGTATATTAGACGCTGGCGACCGAATTCATCGTGGTCACAGCGAACTCTTCGAGACATTCACATTTCGCTTTCTTCGTCCGACTCTGCTGTGAAGAATTGAAGAAAGACCGTTGCTTCGCGTTCTGGTCACCAAAACAAATCTTGGAATCAATACAACCCCGCCTTCGTTCATAGTCGGGGGGCGTCGTCCACTTTTTGCCACTGCAGCGTCCACGCTAACCAATCAAGCACCTCAGAAAGTAAACCTTCCAAGAGCGTCAACTGACGGCTTATTCATCTCGTTCCCAGTTCCTCTTCTCGCCCGCCTTCATCGCCGCTTTCTTCAGCACGCTGCTCACCCTCGAAGGGCGGCCGAGCCTCATCCAAGCTACGTTGCAAAAGGAGTGGGTATCCACGTGCATAGCCAACTGGAAGATCTGGATCCCCTTCCAGTTCCTCAACTTCTGGCTCGTGCCTCCGCAATTGCAGGTATGTGCTCCCTGATCCGTGCAGTCTTTGGCTGTCCAGATCGAATCTCTCAATATCCGTATGCTGTTCTGGCTTCTGAGCAATACGCTGCGGTTCGCTTTCCCGGTCTCGAACGCTTCTGGTCTTTCTGCGCTTGTACTTTCTTGATCCCTGCACAAAATGGCTCGACCTCTGAGCAGACCATGTGCCTGCTTCCCACGTTTTGAAGGGCTGTTGAAGCTCCGACTTTGCCGCCTGAGCGTTTCCGATGCTTGCGGCTCCTAATGCCCATTGCAGTGCGTTTAGAACAATCTGTTCCGAACCGTCATTGTCAAGGTCGTCGAGTGCAGTGCTTGATTGAAAGGTCCTCGCAATACCAACAAGTGTTGGGCTTCCTCAAGTGCTGTCTGTTTGCCTATAGGTCGGCGCGGCAAACGTGATTGCTCTGCTATGGACAGTTTACCTATCCTTTGTCACTCACAAGTGAGAGAGACTCCATCAGGAGAGGGATGTCAATAATACGGACAGCTTCGCGTTAGCAGTCAAGTAAAGCTTAGGAAACGTGCTTCTGGATACATTGTACAGAGACATGCTGCCCAGTCCTCAGGCCGTTTGCGGCGTTCGAGTAGTGAGTTTGCAAGGTAGACTGCTTGACGGGGTCGTGCATTAGGGCCACCGGTTCAGCTGCAGAGTGCGCCGCACCATACAACTGTGCGGTCACAATGCCAAGTTTGTCACAAGAGATGTTTCTGTGTCTACGCGAATGCATGTGTGGCCTTCGAGGTTTGACCTCGGGGGCTTAATAGACCGTCCCGTGCCAGTTGGTACGTCGGGTTGTATGCAGCCTCATATGCATAGCAAGGACTTGCGAGGTGAAAGTGCCCCCATATGATTTTCGTTGTGGACTCAACTTCCATATGTGTGGATGTACTTCTCGGCGGTTGACGTATATTCGTGGCTTCCCCGCAACTCTACTCGCTTCTAGACGTCCCCCCCGGGGACGCGTTGCAAGCTTGCAATCCGGGGCCCCGGAATTGGATCTTAGCGACTCATTGTCATATGCCATGATGGCCGCCTAGAGCTATACACTACTTACCGTGAGGCCATAGCAAGCGCGGCGCACTGTCGATGGATCGCGGTCCGCGGGCCATATATGCAACTGCGAGTTATTCTGCCCATAGGCATGAGCTCACCCGCGCGCATGCATGCGATTTAAGAGCTCATGTGATACCCGAATCGGTTGGGCACAATCGGCCGGGATACAACGTACGAGGGCGGCTTGGCGATGACGGTTTCTAAAGAAGCAGCATGATACGTGGGGCTTACTATTTCGACCAAGACGATTGAGGAACTCTTGATGATCATTCATCACATGCCACTGGATAAAAGCACCCCGGGCAGGCTCCTTCCGAATCCAAGACCGAAACACAGAAGCCTCGCTGTGAAACGGACCAGCTGCTCTCGAATCCAGCGTATTGGTCAACGTTCTTTACTGTGGAGCTTGGCGAAGTGCCTGAGTGGTTTAGCCTCAAGCTCACAAACTTTTTTCCTTTTTTAGCTGCCAGCAAATGTGGGCCAATGAATTTGCGTTTATATAAGCAACGACAATTTACCAGAAGGACGGAAGCGGCTTCCACACTGAGGCCGCTAGGCCGAGAGCAATGGCGACACCATGGGCTATGTGCAGCCTCGTTGCGAAGTACTTAGCCATGAAAATGACCACCTTGTTCTGCAGAGAACCAACGGGAAAAAGGCCTTTGGTTGTGGATGTAGTTTTGAATGTGTTTGAATGTTAATTGCAACAAATACGGAGCGCTTCGGTACCAATCGCCACGTGCACGTCGAAAGACGAGATAGTTGATATTGACTCGTTTTTGCTCGACACAAGCAGGTCTTCATCTCGCATCTTGCATCAGGATTGTGTCGGAGCTCGCGCCCGCGGCAACTATTGGCCTGTAAGATCTGCCGGCTAGTAAAGCGCGCCAAAAGAACCAGACAAATAGAGGGCAAGCTCACCTCGTGGTTCTTTGAGATGAAGTTCTTCACCAGTTTGCCGAGGGGTATCGTTAGAGCTGACAGAATCTGCCAAAGACGAACTACAAAGGTCAGCCACGTACAGTAGGAGCTTCCAGTCATCGTGACTGGAAGACCGGCTCAGCCTGAATGGTGCTCGGGGTATAAAGTTGAGCCGGAACTTACTAGATTGAAGTGTCTGATAGTCGGGCATTATCGACTTTGATTAACCTCTCAAGCAGCTAATATTTGATCAAAACTGGACGGTATACCGACTGTCTCGAACGGTCAGTTATCGCAGACTCCACTTTCAGTTTGTTAAACTGCATAGTTGGCTGGTAACAACGCCACCACCCTTCCAGAGCGACAATGAGGAAGAATCTTCCATTTAGCAATAGTAAGCTTTAGCAATAGTAAGCTCACCAGCCTGGGACGGGTAGGGTTAGTCTGGGGGTTAGGGTGGGTTCGGGTGCGGAGCGAGTGTTTTTGTAGGTTAGGTTTTTAGTGTTAGTGCCGGAGCTTACTATTGCTAGGGCTTACTATTGCTAAATTGAAGAGACATACAATGAGGTCCACCCTGACGAACACGTCAATCACTCAGGAATCCAGTCTCGTAAATGCGGTCCCCGCTTCAATTACTACCAGCAGCCAACGCTAGCCCGTGCTGAATCCAATCACGACTCCCAACGTGTGGCGCACCCCTGTGCACCGAACATGCACCGAGTCGAGCATCAGTCGAGCACGTGGAAACGATTGGGTCAGATCGACAGTTATGACTGGGCTCCGAGACACGTGGCAACATAACGATGTGCGGCTCACCCCGCACCACGTGGGCAGCAGCTTGGTCCCCACGAGCCCCCCGGTCACGAAGTAAAGCGCAGTCACGGCCGCGCTCGCCACTTGGGCGCCTCTCGCGGTCCCGAGCCGCACCTGGAAACAGGAGACAACGGGCTTTAGGCAAAGCGATATTTTCAGGCTTGATGATTGAGCCGGTAGTCAAGCAGCAGGAGTGCGTCGAATCCAAACAGACGTTTCTAAGGGAGCGCGTTTTGTGCGCCTAGACAGCCGGTGGTAAATCTCGCAAGTTGGGTGACGCAGGGTTTATGATCAAACCCCGTTGTGATTTGTCGCCAAATCTATCCAAGTCAGAATAAGCGGCACGTCTCCTCACAGACATTCTGACGGCGCCCGGAAGGCGAGGGCGAGACACGAGAAGAAAATAGTCTGCCTTTGAGCTGTACAAGGTCGTTCTGAGCTGCCAATACAACAGTTCTCGCTTTACAAAACAAAGTCCAGCAAGCATGCCGGTTCTTGCACCTCTCAATCCGTGAGACTGCGCGCAGAGCCGCAGAAACACTGCCCCATCTCAATCCGTGACTGCGTTGGAGATCAGGGGAGCCTAGTGACAATTTCTACAGCCGACAACTGGGCACGCCGTTGACCTGGATGAGAAATTTACAGCTTGCGGCTGTATCGAGTCTACGGCAAAATGGAGAAGGTAACGCTTCCAATTACTTTAATACAAGTACGTCTCTGGACTGGTGTAACTTGGGGGCCGGGAGCCTTGCACCGACTTCCACTATCCTTACGCATATGCGTCAAAATAACGTCGCCAAAGCGGTAAACTCACCAGCGGCGACATCTTGCCGACCTTCGCGTCGTCCTCAATCTGCAGATCGAAATAGAAACCGCTTGTAAGTTTGCAAGTCTCGATTTTCACGTCGCCAACCGGGCGTCAACCAAGGCACGCGTGACTGATAACCAAGGCAAAACCGCGGACTGACCCATCGGGGGTCAGGATGGGTTCAGATTACAAAAGGGGTGATGCGGGTGCTGTCGTTTCTCATCAGCTTGCTTCTGAGTTTGGTCTGCTCTTGACCCAATCTCGAGGTGCGCGGACTTCTACAGTCCCCACAATCGAGAGGCGGATGAGACGATTCCAAAAACATCCTGGAGCGTCAAAACCTACCGCCCGATTCTGCAAGAACTTCTCGCACGAAACTTCGCGACATCAATGCAAGTGCGGAACGCCCTGGTGTAAGCGTAGTCGTTTCCGAGGCACCGAAAGCTCTCAACCCCATTTTTGTATCTGCTCAGGACGCACACAGCAAAGCTTTCTCTGGCGATCTGGGTTCCGGGCGGCAACCGAAAGGTTGACGAAGCACTCAATCTCTCGCAACCCTCTTCCACGGCTTTCCATTCGCCAAAGAAACGGACAGAGTCTTCAAAAAGATTCCTGGAGTACATGAAGCAGCATTCCGATGTGTTAACATTTGATGCAGTTCCCTTCAGCGACTAAGGGCCTGACGTATTGGAAGTCGGATTGAAGAAAAAAGCGCGAAACTCACTTGGTGAAAGTGCGAGCAGAAAAGGATGAGCGTGGTGGTGATGCCAACTAGAACGGACGCACCCAGGACCGTTGGAGTCACTTCCGGCAGCGCTTTGCAGCAACTGCACAGAGAGGATACGGTCATTCAAAAAGAGTCGTGGCGACTCTGGCGACCCATTAACGACTTTCGCTTCCAAAGGTAAAGGTCCAACGCGGCTTTCTAGGCGAAGAGCTGGGGACTAAAGGCAAACAATGGTTAGCAGTGTAATCTGGCTGGAACAGTGGTAAGTCTGTCCCTAGAGCAGTGTGGGATATAGTTTGATGGGCACGGGAAGTTTGTCGCCTCCTACGCCAAGAGGAACAACCTCTGCCTCCGTCTTAGGTAGGGTTAGAGATCAAAGTGTTACCCCCAAGAGTGTGAAAGGACTCCGTAATGAGTATCTGTCTTGTAATTCAATCGAGGGGCGTCAGCAAGAGCGGCGAATGAGGACGCGGGTAGTCACTTGTGGTGGCGTTAGCAAAAGCGACACTAAGAGTTCGGGTGGCCCACCTCTTCTTGACTTGGCTCAGGTAGAAGGCGCTCGTGGCTAGCGGCCCAAAGGAGACGAAGCAAAGGGGCTCCCCAAGCCCCATGTAGCCTAGTCGGAAGGGCGGGCTCTGAAAAGTACAAGGGAAGCACGGTGGTTTAGGTGCCCTGAAACGTGGTTCCGGGTTTTGAAAGTCTTGTCAGGTTACAAGCGTACGTGATTGCCCTTGACGACTACGACTTTCTGAGCGATGCCAAAGCGGGGATGTCGGGTAAAGAGCTTGCCTTGACGTTGCCGAACATACGATTGGAGCAAGCTTGCCAAGCAGACAGCTGAGACACTCCTCCTTCATAGGCTCATCCTATTCTCCAGATCGAAGAACGTAGAGGCAACTCCGTCAAAAACGATGCGAGGAGCGCGTCAGTACAACCACGGCCATTGACCTTGTTCGCTGAAGTGAAGCGTGAAAGATCTTCTTTAGTCTCACCTGGTAAACATAGCCGCAGGCTACTGCTGCTCCAAGTAGCCACAGCATCCGTGGGTCGTTTACCGTTTTTGCCAACCAGGCAAAGCCCCCGAACGCGATGATCAACAAAGCAATGGCGATGACCAATACGAGGTTTCGGCTGCAAGGTACCAAGAACACTTAACAGCTCAGAATGGAGATTCGTCTCGTGTCAAATCATAGGCTATCACAAGGAAGCAACTTTACGTCTGTTTGCAGGAAACCGGAGACGTTGCGGGTCCTCCGATGAAGACAAAAAGTAGGACATTAAGATCTTCCGTTCTAAGGGCTCCTTAGCAAAAGCAGCACAGTGACAGCGATCGGTCTGGAGCCGAAATCGGAAGAGAAGGCTGTGTTTAAGGGTAGTGGACAACGAACCTGCCAGTCATGTTCACAACCGACTCCTTCTTGTTCTTGTCAACCTCGGTATCTGAATCGAAAACATCGTTCCTGCAGAGTAATACGAAGGGTCAGAACGGACAATCTAAAACAGGACATCAGTATGAATAACAACACTTTTTCCGAGTATCATGTGCCCACAACCTACCACCACAAAGGATTGCACTCGGGGCAAGCTGGCCACTTGACAGATGGATCTCTTGTCATTTGATGGTCATAATCACTCATGGATCGAAGGAAGTCGTCAAAAAAACAACTCTCTCAAGCTTCCCAAGCACCAGCCACCTTCATGGCTGGTGCTTGGGAAGCTTGAGTCACAAAATTTAAATTAGAGCTGCTACACTTAGTCTGTTGTCCTATCAAAACAACGCTGAGCCATGATCAACTATCAGTGAGTTGTATCTTGGTTTGTCCTAATTCTATGCTAAGATGAACATATTTTCGAACTTTCCCCTGGTTCTGGTTCCTCACAAACATAGCGGAGCAATCCTCAAGCGAACTAGGAGTATCAAGAAGAAACCTTGGTTTCAACTTACGTCAAGTTTAGCCATGCTATGACCAGGCATGATGATCCCAACAAGGTCCAGAATCTGGAGTGATAGAAGACACCAGTCTTCTGATACGCGGCTGCGGCCCCAACCTGCAGAACAAGCCGGTTCGGCACTGCTTAGCGAACAACGCGTTGGCACTTATTGTCACATCATTCGCCCCCGCTGATGACTTCCTCTCGTTTATTGGCCACATCTACAATGAATCCAACCACGACTTTGATTTACCCAAATTTGGGTCGTCAACGAGCATCTTGTCACTCTGTTGCGACCAAGTGCCTGCCTTTTCCACCCCAAATGTCTGTCATTTTTGCACCAGTAAAGTCAAAGTTTAGAAACGTAATCACAGCATGGTTTACCACTCAAAGTTGGTGCCACCACCCAACATTTATCTCCACAGTTTCCTAGGGTACTTTGGAGACCTCTTCTGTTGATCCACTCCAGGACCAATTGGCCTTGTTTCTACATGGTGCACTCACCAGGATGGGAATCAATGCCACGGTGTAAATTGGAAGCTTGACGGCCCTCCATATCAGTGTGGCCTGGCTCAATTCCTCTTCTACTGGTGGTGGTTCAGTTGCCTCCGCCAGCGGCTCCTCTATAGGCGGAACAAAGTCCCCTGCTGTGCACGCAACTCTTTTTCCTGTTCTCTTGTGCCTTTCAAGTTGTAGTCCTCCTGCAAGGGGGACTCTGCTGCCGTTGCCTCCCGCATCTGGTCTTAGCGTCGACCGTCCCCTCTGTAAACATGGCAGAGTGGCTTTCTCAATCGTGCTGAATGGAATGGGTAACGTCCCCATTGGACGTGAAGAGCGCCTGGCGTTTTGGTAGGCAGACCCTTGCACAGGCTGCTGTGTGGCAGGACATCCCGCTGCAGAGATTGTGCTGGCTTCTCTGTACATAGTCAGATTGCCAATGTGCTCCACTGTGCGGGCTGCCGAAAGGTGTGCCATTGTGCAAGTTTTCCTGGCGACAGCAAGATAAAGCAATTCTGACAGGGTACCACCGCTTGACACACCTTTTGAGACGTGATTCGCAGGGTGCGACCACTTGAAGCAGGTGATTCAGCACGATGCTGTGCTTACAGAGCGCGCACTGTGGTAAACCGCCTGCAAACGGTGTCCTGCGTCTACAAGTTTGAAATACTTAGCTTCTCTTACTCCTCCGTCAGCAAAAAGTGGTAGAACAATGCTGACACTGACAGCAATTTTTCTAGGGGAGATTTGGAAACACATGAGGACCATTGAGGCGTGCCTCACAAATGGACCTTTGAATCGATTGGAACGCGCAATGATGGCTTCTGTCGGTGTCGTTGTATCCGCAAATGGGAACTGGGAATGTGCGTTTGCAGCACACGGCAAGTACTGTGCAGGGCATTTGCCAATCATGTGGCACAACCCGATCTTAGGATCAACTTCTACGCAATCCCAGCGGCTGAAAACGCCATGTCAGCTACCACATGTTCATCCGACGGTCCCGGTGTGGCGCAAAATCTTAGCTCTGGCTGGCAAATTAATTCACGGCACATGCAAACAGGGTTGCGAGTATGTTTTGAAGGTTCTACCTAATCACATGGTAATACCCGTACTGGCGGCCACCCTGCAACAATGAAAAGATGACGGCCGGCACAGTTTAGGAATACTAAGCCGTAGGAACAGTAACCTCAAACCAACATGATGAAAAGCCCCAACGGCCATGAGGGCCAGTAGCTATGTTACTGCAGCGCATCGTACATGGCAGACTCCAGCTAGCCACAGATTCTTACACCCTCGGATGGCCTCGTGGATTTTGAAAGGTCTCGTCGCATGTATAACCCAAGATCGCATGGGCTTACCCATGCAGCAGTCAAATCTGGATAATACTATACAATCCATCATCTCATGGAGAATGCCCCGCTTGGACTTGTGGGCAACTTGTTAAATACAGTTGGACTTCGATACGCACCAGTAAGTCGATCGATCATAGGCGCACAATCTGATCCTTCGGGAGTCCACCAGCGTGCCCATTGATGCCCTTACGGCGTCATAGTCCGCTCACCGTGGCACTGTTTCATCTGCTTGATTAGGTGGGATGCCGCGCGGCAGTGGCCGAGATCATTTAGTGATACATTCATTGCTGCCGGGCCGTCACGGGGTGCACGCAACACCCACGTTGGATGACGAGCCTGAGTTACAAGGGTCAGCGTTGCTGCTTTCTTTTCATCGTTAATCGGGCACTCATGATATATTAGTCTTCTAAGCAGTAAAGGTCACATTCAGAACCCGGATTACAGTTTGCTTGCTACTCTGGTTACAGACGGTAAGAGATCAATGACCCCGTTTCTTTCGTCGCATAAGGTTTCCGAACTACAGCGATAAGACCTGGCAGTAGTCCCTGCTTGTGTCACGAATGATCGGCATCGAAGCGGCTCATGTATCTCTTTGCCTCCTCTTCAGTCGAAGGGAGCACTCTTCGAACGACGGTCGCGTGGCTTTTCAAGTCGTCCGGGTGTACAGTAAAGGTGAAATAGAAGGTGTTCGATACCTGCAGCAAGAGTGGCGCTCAGGTCAGTAAAGTATGCAAGTCAGAGTCCGACTAGTATCCCCGCCGAGCTTCTACAAGTCTCTCACTCGATGATTCTATCGCCGCTTCTTCCCTGGAACATGAGTACTTCGGTGCCACAATCCAATCAGTCGTAAGCAGCTGACCACACGTACGACAGGAACTTCAGCAGTCCATACGAAACAGACCCATCAAAGACCAACGGCCCAATGAAACGCGTCATGGACAGTCGGGATTGCAAACGGAGAGAAGCAATCGCTTCCTGCCTACGCTGCAATCTGTCCGCGCACACCCCTCATCAAGAATACCGATGGGTCACAACAAGACTTGTCAAGCGCATTCAGGACTAATGACAAGTCCGTCGACGCTCGGGGGAGCCGGATGTAAGCATATCTCCATCAATTATTTCGACGGATGGTTCCCGCTTTGCCTCCCCCTCAGCGACCAAGCGTCTGATTGAATGCGCTTTTCTCAACTGGCACACGTCTTGCCGGCCGATACTAAACGATACTGAGCCCGACGTTACCTGACTAGTGCGCAGCTCCGGCTTGGTGACGTAAGCCACGACTTCCACGTGGATCAGGGGCCGCACCAGGTCGCTCTGCTCGGTGTAAAGCACGCATGACTTGAACCGCAGCAGATCGCCCACGTCCACCTATTGAAACAGTCGTTAGAACCGGTTGCTTTTTGAATGCTGCGGAAACGAAGATGAACGGTTCACTGACTCCAGGCGGAATCTTCGGAGTGGCTCGCCATCGTTGACGACGTCGTGCGACGATAACAACCGCCCTTTTTCTAAACGGAAAGGCTGTCAGGCCTTCGAATACATGAGCATCGCAAAGCTCAACGGACCGGCCGACGAATTGGGAATCGCTGAGTCGCCACCGACTGCGTACTAACATGCAAATTTGAACCTTTACACAAGAAGATCATCTTCTCGGATCGAAGGCCATAAAGTCAAAGTATCCCAACATTCGGGCAACGTAGACAGTGGTTATCCCGCTTTCGAGGGCAACGGAAGCAGCAGCGGACAAGCGCGGAGCAAGAACGAAGACCACTCGAAGCCGCAAATCTGGAAATCATCGGGGGCGTCATATATGGCAATTTCAGGAGGTACCGATGCTCAGGAACTGAAGTTCGGTCCCTATGGAACCGAAAACCAATGTTCTCGACCCCTAGACATTACTTCGCAATTTCTGAGGCACGGTCCGCCCCTCAGGGACGCTGGTTCGAAAGACGAAGTTTCTAAACAGTGGCTCTCACTCTCGGACAGCGTACACAACCGTAAATAGTTTTACGTTTCATGCAATCCGTCCCTCAAGTAATTATGACAGAACGCTTTCCCGAGGAGCAGCCGCTACCTTAATGAGCGACGCCGCTCTTCCGAGATCTCAGATTTGACCGCCCTGTGAAAGGTGGTATCGTGCACTTCGCCGGAAGCAAACCCCTCTTTCCGAAGGCTCTACCACGAAGTTGTACAATTCGGGAATAGCGACCGTGCTAGACTTGAAGGCTGAACCAGCTTCTTCGAAGAGACACCCTCGACGACCAGTGAAAGAGTAGTGCGCTCAATTTTGGACGAACCCATTTTCAGACAGGCAAACCCCGAAAATTAACTTTGCGCTCAGACAACCCGTTCTGCGGCTGCTCGTGCGCGGCGGTTTTTGACGTGGCGTTCGCAGTGCCATCAGGATACGAGCGGCGCACGAAACATGTTACACACACGCACGCACGGCCGTAGACTGTAACAAATTGTCCGGGTTTACATTCGCGTTTGCCCGTCAGAGAGTTAAAACCGTCCAACATTGGGGCACGCCAGTCTTCACATGCCAGCCAATGGACGGCGGCTTCTCACCGGGCGCTGGAAGGTGATGTCGTGCATTTCGAGGAAGGCGGGCCGCGTGCCACAGAAGACGTAGCAGGTGGAGAAGGCGAGCTCGAAGGCGCGCCGCATGAGGAAGCCCCCGAAGATGCGGCCGTGCATGTTGCGCTGCTGCGGCTGGCACAGGAACGCGTTCTCCAGCCGGGTGTCGCGGATCAGCATGCTGCGGGGAAACGGGGGTGGCGTAATGATTCGTGGGATAATCAAGAACTGACCTTCGAAAGACTTAGGAAGAAAACTTAAGATGGATTTGAGAATAGGTGGAGAGGACTTGAGATGTCCGACGAGAAATTGGAGACGCGAAGGGGCCCGACGTGACTTCGGAAGGGAATATAGAGAAGTTGATTTGGCCGAACATGGATGCCGTGAGTGTTCGAGAACCGACCAAAAAGTAATCAGCCGGCAGAATGGAACTCGAATCTGACCCTGACTCTTGCGCTTCTCTGTAAAGAGACGGAAAGAGCCTTAGAACAATCTGGCTAGGGTCTGAGGAAGTTGCATGACAACAGCTCTAAAATTTTCCAAGGCCGCCAGAAAGGTCGTTTGCGGAGTTGGAGACTTCCAACAACACTCGTACTTCACTGCTGGTTGTGGCCTGCTGTCAGAGAGTGACCGGAAAAGTTCGCGTTTCAAAGCACGAGGAAGCAACCAACTTCCGCTGCGGCTCTCAACAGCGGAATTTCCGCCTTCTACTTCGAAAGAAGGACCAGACGTCCTGATTGCCAAGGCTAAGCCATCGAACCAGCTCACGCTCATTGTCGAGTGGACCTGTTCAAGCGACGAACATTCGATGAGACTTGAAGAACGACTCGTACCTGTTCCTGTCAGCCAGAGCTGGCAACTCCAGCATCGTCCTCCCCGCGGCAAGAAAGGCCTCCATCCGGTCCCGCTGCTCTTTGGTGAGGGCCTCGTCCTTCCCAGCACCGCTCTTTCGCCTCACTTTCCTGGCAGCGTCCCGCGCCTCCCCCTCCGCAAACAGGGCCTTCTCCTCAGCGGTGTCTGGAGCAAGGGGGTTAATGGCGGCCGCCTTGTTGGTGGTGATGTCACGCGCCACGAAGGTGAAGTTGGCAACTAGGGGAGGGCGGGAATCTGCGCAGTGGACATGGAGAGGCTCTGGGATTAGGCCATTTTTTTTGACACGTGCTGTGCAGGCTGAATTCCGGCCGCACAGTATGAGGGGCCGTTCTCGTGCGGACATCGCACCTCTGCGAAGATTGACTTTGCGAGTAGGAGAGCTTTTGAAGCATCAGGAAACGACTAGGCCAAATGTCGTTTACGTTGAAGGCGTCTTGTTTTGTGAAGTCAGGACGGACGTCTGTCAGAAATGTCGGGACAGCTTCGCAGAGTCGTTCACAAAGACAACGTTTAAGTGGAAGGGATCGAAGTAAACATAACAACTTCGACAATGCTCATATGCGCTTACGCGACTGCCCTGCAGAGCCGAAAGTGTTGACGCACAAGCTGAACTTCGATAACAACCCCAGAAAGGAGGCCGAGACCATTTCATCACAAGCTGGCAGGTGAGTCACAAGAAGAGAGACGAAAGCTCTGCTTGAGCGATAGGCGACACAGTGTTGTGGGTGAAGGTCATAAACAGAAAAGCATCAAGTCAGTACTCCTCACCAGGCTGTTCCGCACTCGCATTGGGCTGGTCCAGTCTGATCTGAATCTCCATCGAGCTGCGCCCCACCCACGTCACCTTCCCAGTCACAGCAAGATCGGCATCCATTCGGATGTGGCGAGCGAGCCGGATCCTGTCGACAGACGCGGTGACGAGCAGCAACGGACGCGTCTCAGGGTCGTTGTCACTGCAGTGCTGGAACGCCACACTGCCAGCAACTGTACGAAGAAACGATCCGTTTGGGAGCCCGGCTTTTGCAGGATAAACGAAACGTGGCACATGAGAGATTGAGAGGACAGAGGCTGGACCTCAGAGGAGTGGACCCCAAGAAAGTCTACATTTAGGAGAGTGCCAAGTAGCAGGGGCCGCGCATGAGAGGTGCGGGAAACATTTGTTCTTATCAATGACCTTCGACCAGAATTTCAATTGCTGAAGTGGGTGGCACGGGTCAAGGACGATTGCAGGTGAAGACAGAGTGAGCAAAACAGTCGAAGAAACGAGAAAGTTTCAAATTGGCAGAAGATTCTTAGTCATTTTGGAAAGCCACACTGTCCTGATCATGTCATCTCAAGCCAAAGCTCAAAAGAAGGGTGTAACTTTGAAGGATTCCTATCCTCATCAAATCTCGATCTCCCTCAGCGGGCAAGCATTTCCTACAAGTTTGGGACCTTCACCAGCTCACACAAAGGATCTCTCCTAGTAGTCTGCGCGGTGCAGTCTGCGCGGTGCTTGGACGGTTCAAAAAGCTAGAATCTACACACAAGGACCATCTCGAATGGGCACACCCGACTCACTTGCATCCAGGTCCTCTAATAGCCTGCCTACTCGCATGGAGTCCCATGGATTACGGTACTTTTCTCTTAGCGCCAGGTCTTGTGAGAAGGGGTACTCCAAACTCAACATGCTATCCTCTGGCTTCTTCACAATCAGCTCCTTTTGAGGGGGCTTGGCATAGTCCACCGCAGGCGCCGGCGCCTCCATAGCGTTTCGGATTTTCCATAGCCTATCGATGACAGGCGAGTGGTGCTGCCCAGGGCGAGTGGCGGTGGCTGTGTCAGAGTTTTCAGCTGGAGCCAGGTGTGCAGTGTGAAACTTCCGCATGAAACTTCTGGAAGAAGGACCGGAAGACTCCGCGCTTTGTGAGCTGGTCGATGGACCCCAGCTTTGATTGAGGGGGGGCTTGTTAGCATCCCAAAAAGAGGGCAACGAGGACAAGAGGAAAGCGGTTCTAAGAGCCTTGATGCCATCCATGTGTGGTGACATGTTACTGGTTAACGATGGTGCTGAGTTTGAGACGGAAGGCGTTTTCAGGTTGGTGTCCGCACTTGTGAGGCCAGTATTGAATTGCCCATTCTTCTTCTTTGGCGCTGCCAAGAGATCATTAAGCTGAATTTCTGTCTCTGCTGGCTCGACCACCACTGGATACAAGTCCCAAATGCAATTATGCGCACCTCGAAGGCTTCCCATCGCCCTGCTTTGCAACGCTCTCCAGACAGGAGAGCCTGTGTTCACAAGCAACCGAGCCATTGCGGGAGCTCCCTGCTCGCACTGCCAGCAGCTTCGAGAATGATTCTGAGCGACTTCTCAATAATCGATTGAGCTTCACTGGCCAGCACAATCTGCCTCTCTTGCACGCGAGACCAAAACCTTAGGCTTTGCTGGCTTGTGCTTTGAAGCCCAGCAACGTTTAGTTTACTTTTGAGTTCCGATCGGGGTTAGATGTTCAACCTGGAAACCGGGCACTTCGATCTGGACACTTGCTGTACAGCCTCAGGTACAATAGTCGAACTGTACCTACCGGATGAAGTTAACCTTTCGAACCAAACCTCCTGATTAACATCCCGTTAGGGTCTAACCCCAATTGCCCCAGGAACACGCTGCACAGCTCACTGTCCGGTCTTGAAGTTGAACTTGAAGCTGCAAAGCGCTGTCACTGTCAGAAGTTGAACAAAGAAAGCAGAGCTTAGGCGGGCTCAGGAAGGGCGTTGTTGAAAGAGGGCGCATCAGGGAGATAAGCTTGAGGAGCAGCATTCTGCTGTGGTGGCAGCAAGTCATGGCTTTGACTGCGGAGGCTGCCGTCAGTGGCAATTTGCAACCATTCACTGCACGCTCTTTCCATAAAGATGGCGCTCCGGCAGACCATGTTGAAACTTCGCGCTTGCATCCAGGAAGATTGCGTGCAAGAGCAGGATCTCCGCTTCTTTTTAGCATTCAAAAGGTTCCTGCTGCCCCTCAGATACACTGCTTGCAGAAAAGTGAGTCAGTCAGTGGTTTAGATGGATTCCCCAGCATTTTCTTGGAGCGTTCTCACAGCCGGTGGGCTAAACGAAAAGGTAGATGCAGAAGAGTGCGGCAACATGCTGTTGCTAAGTGTGAAAGTGGCGGGTCGCCAGCAAGGTTTGACGTCGCTCCAAAAATGTAAGCTTAGTTGCACTGCTCAAGTAATCCTGCAACACATAAGGTGTCACAGATGCTATCATGATGTTATACGCAGGGTAGCTTCGACCCAGCAGATCATGAAAATCTGATCCTACTCGAGCTATCTTCGACACTCCATGGCGCCTTGCTAAGAAGATCAACGAGAACAGCGAAATCTACAATCTTTTACAAGCAAAAGCACCCTTGAAATCCTGCACTGTGTAGGATCAGTCTCTACCCTTTTCAGAACAAGTGTACTTGGGCAGGTGCATGAGACGAAGTCGTCACTTTCTTTTACACAACTACCACCACCTGTCACCATTTCAACACCACATCTGACCTCCTTATCTGTTTGTTTCAGGTCCATGATGGACGTCTTTGAGGTGTTGGCGAATCGACTCATCACAAGCGCAGCCTCAATACCACCAGGCCAGAAGTAAGTGAAGATGCAAAATTGGTGACAATGTGTTTTAGGGGCAATTCCAGGATCCAGTGAGGGACTGATCAATGCAATGGCTTGCTGAGCTTTCGTTGTCCATTATGGTGATGGAAATTCAGAATCGAGTGTCTATTTCTGGTGATCTATGAAAACGAAACCAGCGCCACCATACATCCACGTCGTGCGGAATCCTTTAAGAGAGAGTGTAATCCGTTTCAACTTGCTTCTTTGGGCTCAAAAGACTCAAAGGTCCGCCAGGTCGAACTCGGAAGCGAGTGTCGCACTGCCAACCTGTAACCTCGTTGTAGTAGAATCTAGCTGACTCAGGACTTCATGCAGGTACATGGTTGGGGTCGCTGGTTCTCCTGGCTCTGGTATGAATTGCTCCTTCTTGCGAGATCCCAATAGTACTTATGCATGCTACGATTCTTTTCTTCAAAGAAGGTTGGAACTTCTTGTGAAGCTGCAAACCTTGCTTGTTCAGATTGGTGACAACCATACTTGAAGGCCTTCGTGCCTGTCGTTTGTCATTCTATCAATAGACAAACGTATATCTTGTGATTTTGAATGGCTGAAATTCTCACACTGACGGTCAATCATTGCACAACCACCTCTGGTACGAGTTCGAACCTCTAGCTTGGTATCTATCGGATATTCTTTATCGTGTGCAGGGAAGACAACTCTAGCGCTTGGTATCTATCGGATATTCTTTATCGTGTGCAGGGAAGACAACTCTAGCTCGAAGTGTGACCGCACTCATTAACTCGAAGCAGTCTGATCCCGACTTGGCTGTCAGCGTCCCCATGGATGGCTACCACCTGTACAGAAAGCAACTCGACCAGATGCCGGTGAGTGAACCTTCACCGGGCATCGTTCTTAGCTAGATACTGGCCGTTGTGGTCCGGATCATGCAATCTTCAAAAGTGCCTGGTTGATTGGTAGATGCTGTGCCGAACGAAGTGTACAGCGTCGGAGTCCCAATTGTCATTTAAAAAATCTGCTTCGAGTTCCGACGAGCAGGAAACCGCTGATGTCGAGTCCCGTTTACTTCATTCATGCAGTATGATTGTTTCCTTGCCAAAGCTGGCTCTTCGAGCTTTACGACGAGCCAAGGGGAACGAGCTCAAAGATTGAACAAAAGACTTTGGGGCGCTCCATGCAGGATCCAAAAGAGGCGCATGCAAGGCGGGGCTCTCATTGGACTTTTGATCCAGTCGGGTTGCTATCGACATTGAAAACGATTCGAGAGAAGGTACGAACGACCTGTTTACTGTGGTGGGGACGGTCTGACGGTTACACTTAATTACGCAAGTTCGTATGAAGTTTCTTGTCCGCTTCTATCAACATTAAGCATGTGAAGCTGTTTGAACCGCGAAGTGGTGTATTCACGAACGCACGTGCAGCCGATTGCTGCACGTGAACAAATGCTTGATGGTCGATTGTCCGTTTGACATAGCCAGTTCGTTCGCAGACGCAGACAAAGACCTCCGGACCTTCCCGATTTGCTGGGTGCCTGTTGAAGTACGATTGAAGCATCTCCCGTCTTCCTCTCTTACATCCACGTGCGGCAAACAGTATGTTTACGTTCGCAGGGGCGAGCTGCGGTTCCCAGCTTCGACCACGGGGTAGGAGATCCAGTTGACGGGGATATCGAAGTAAAGCCAGAGTAAGCCAGGAGCTCAAGATAAGCTACTGAGTCAGTAGCTTATCAGTAGCTTATCTTGAGGTGCTTTGTCTTTGTCTGGTTTGCTCATCTGACGTCGTCAGTGCTTGTTCGAGAACGGTCTAAGGTTCTTTCGACTCCTGCAAAATGTGCTATGACCATGTGTTCGTAATTTTCTGTCTCACGCCTGCTTTAGTTGTTTTGTTGCTGACAACATCCAATCACGCATCTGTGTACAGGAACCGCATAGTGATAGTCGAGGGCAACTACCTTCTTTTGGATGAGGACCATTGGAAGGACCTTCGAGACCTCTTCGACGAGACTTGGTGGGTTGTTCGGATCGCACACATTACGCTCAGCAGAACAGAGGTCTCTCAGGTCAAGAGTCTCCGTGCGTTTAATACACGGACAACGAAGATGACGATTGCAAATCTGTTATGGGCGACGCAATGCTGGCGAAAGCAGACTTGAGCTGTCTAGGTTGATTCGAAACGGTCGGAACGTGAGCTGCAATCTGTGTCCCTTCAAAGTCATTCGCCTCACGGTCGAAGCATTTATGAAGTGCTCAAAAGCTGAAGGCCCTCCGGGAAGTACTCGTCGTTCTTTTTTTGCATTTTGCTTCTGGCAAGATCTCCGGATGACGTCAAGCTGTCTTCAACAAATTTCGAGATTTGTCGTATGGCCGCTTTTTAGAATGCCTGAGTTGGTTTCATAGCTTAGATGAAACGCGAAAATAAGCCTCACGTCCCGACTACTGCTAAATGGACAATTATCTTGCTTCCAGGTTCCTCGAAGTTGACATTGACATCGCAATGAGGCGAGTTTTAAATAGGCACATCAAGACCGGAAAGCCGCCCGACGTGGCTGCATGGAGGGTGAGCCATAAACCTTGGTCTGATACAACCGGCTTGATCCACGACGTGTCTGCTCCTCCCTCTGGCATGCCTTTGTCTGATCAAGTTTGATCTTTGCCTGGTCAGGTTTCCATGAAGGGAGTCTGCTTTGGGACGGAAAGCTGCAAATGAGCCCAGGGTTTGCAAGCATTGGAAAGATCTGAATATGAAGTTTAAGAAACACAAAACTTACACACTATCGTTGTTGCAAGTGCTAACTAAGTTGTGGGTTGCTTGTTTGCTTGTTTGCCTCTTCACCAAGCGTCCTCCACACGGTGAGTCCCTGAATTAAACGACGTATGATGGTAGCAGGCTTTGTAGTGATACCAAATCAGCTTCATTCGGGCCATCAAGACGCCGAAAATGACCAGGTTGGAACGATCATGCAATTTTCTTTCGTATCATGCAGGTTAGCTACAACGATCGGCCCAATGGGTTGTTGATTGCTGAAACTGCGAGTCGAGCTGATCTGGTGATACCGTCTTTGGATATGGTGATCGGAGAAGGTTGAGCCCCAATGTGTCAGATTTTATATGGCTGCCATTTTTCCACCAACAGTCCGCTGATTGCGCACGCTTGAGTCGTCGTGTTCGCCCCGCGAGTTCGGTTCGGTGTCGTGGGGGTGTCGTACCCGAAGATGCATTGGTGTATGGCACTAGAAGTCAAAACATCAATCTCAAATTCATGGAAGTGAGAAGCAAAGGAAACTGATCTGCGAAATTGGCGTATGGTTCCTTGCTCCAGCGAACTTTGATACGACCGCATGTCTCGAGGGGAAGTATAAAAGCCTGTCGTGTATGATTGATCTTGTATATGACTTGGGATATAGTGGGACGCTTTCTTCGTTCTTTAAGAGGTGCGCCACCAAGGGCGCGGCCTGAGCTTCACTTTCGACAGGCATGTTTCGTTGAACCATGTTTGTGGTCAATCAATGGGAATGATCGTATGCAGAGTGCATGAAAGGCTAATTATCTAGAGCAACGATTTGGCAGGAGATTGTGATCGACATGCTTGAAGCTCATCTGCATGAGATTCTGAGATCCGTCAGCAACTTCCCAATACCTATGCCGAATAGCATGCCCCGGTTATAAACAAACCCAAAATGCGTGAAATATTTTGCGTACAATCTCGGTGAATCACGTGCCGCCATCTGTAATTGACGAAGCCTTCCCACTGCTAAGTCATCAAAATTTTGGGATTGCATGCAGCCTGAGCCGGCGGGCGCCATGGATGATGCAGGGAGTGCAAAAGCTGCTCAAACCAGGCTGAACAATTTTAATAATACTACTATGTAAGTGAAGGCGGTTTGGTTGCAGCAACATGCCCGCACAAGCGCTTCCACCCTTCTGCTGCTGGCTCTAGTTGACAGCTGATTCTGTCTCGCTTTGCGCTAAAGCGACTTCCCGGCCGTGGTTCGTTGTGCAGTTTGCAAGATGGCGCAGTCTTTGGTGCTGATGCAGGGTGTGCAATGCTGCCCGGCGCTGGCGCTTAGCAACCGGACTCAAAGACAGACACCTGCCATGAACCGGCTGATGCAAAACCACGGGGTTACTTGTCCTATGCATAGACATGGCAAACTTTCAAGAAAGATGATGTCTGCTGGTTTGAAGAAGTGGCGCAGTTGCTCTAAGGCCTCTGTGATAGCCGCACCACCAATCAGAGCCAAGTCCAGTGAAAGCAAGGAAGAGTCAGCGTCTATGACCAGGAATGCTGGCAGCAGCAGATTATCACAAAGAATACTGAGTGCTACTTTGGCAGCTGCGCTAATTTTGTTGCCAGCAGATGGGGGCAACTCAACGAAGGCATATGCATCAAGCCCTGTGACCCTGGTAAGTAATTCTGGTCTCTCAATTTGTTTCATCACGCCGTTCCTAGGTCCTCAGCTGAAACTGGAAGAGAAGCTTTGCTGCCTATCTTTTGCTGCTCTTTTGTGTTGTATTCGAAACCTAGCAGGGTCACCTTTTCAAGCTACCGCCGTGGTGCTCTATAGGTGGCTCATTTGCATTCTATTGGCATTGTACAAATAGGATCAGCTATGTGGCTAAGTTTGGAGTCATGAAGTCAAGTACGGGCACCTGAGCTGCTCTACAAGCTATGGGCTTCTCAAGTGGCTGAGCATTTGCAAGTTTAAGCTGGGGGCAATTCGTCCACTATTGGGAAATTTGAATGGTATCATGGTGATGATTAAATAAATGATGAGAGTTACTGACCTCGGCGTAACCAGAAAGCCACCATCTTCGATCGATGTAATGTTGCTCTTGACTTGTGGGACTGTTGCTCTTTCTCAGACGGTAAATAGGTAGGTGGCCCAATGTGAAACAACCGTTCATTGCTGTCGCAGGGCATAGTGGCTGTAACTAGACGAGGAGCATTCAATGAAGATTTCTGGTAAAGGGAAAGGGTGTTCCTCCAGAACGGTCTTCCCTTGCATCACTCAGTACACCAGTCGGACTGATTCTTGTTACTACAAGGGTGGAAAGCAAGTGGAGCACCAGACGCAATATTGGAAAAGTGTGTCTATCTGGCCAATCTCGAAAATTTGAAGGATGAGCATAATCAACGGGGGACCCCATCAGGCAGTCGCAGCAGTGATCAGCGGAGGGCCCCTCAACTGATGAACTCCTGCCAGTTGTGATCAACGTTTCAAAGAACGGCTCTCTCTTGCAGCCCCTGGCTGCTGCCGTGACGGAGACGGTCAGCGCAGACTCGGCGGCAGACCTCTTTGCCCAGCTGAAGGGCTACGATAGCGCAGAACATGAAGCCAAAGCGTCAGGAAAGGTCGCGCCTCCTCTTAAAGCTAGGTAAGTCTGAAGTTTTCTTTCAATTCGATTGAAAGAAAACTTTCGATCCAAGCAAGTACAGGAAAGAGAAGGGAAGTGAAATCGGCCTGAGCTGAGTATGCAGTGCACGCGCGGACCAATTTTTTACGCTGAAACACATTTGTGACGTGTTGGCAGCTGGGCGCCTCTACTTCAAGAAAAATAACGAGTCTTGAAAGCAAGAACGACATCGTGTGCTACTTGTGTGACATTTCGAGACCGGAGTTTTTGTGGTGGTATTGCATTGTCGAAGTGAGGCATCGAACTTCTAAACTTTGATCTTTTCGACTTGTTCGACATTTATACCCTGAGCCTACAGGCTGGGACGCCTGCTCGACCAAGTCGATTGACCCTGAAACGCTTGACTGCTGATATCGAGTCTCCAGAATCCAGTCGTACACTCATTGCTTATGTTAACATGTGCGTGTGCTTCGCTGACAGTCGTTTCCAGTCGTCCAGAAACAATATGTGGGGACATCAAGCGACCATCCAGATACTCAATTTTCAACTTTTCTCATATTCGCCCAACCTTCCTTAGCTTGTGGTTACGGATCCAACCTTCTCGGACTCATTGCAGCGGTCAAGACCCCATAACGGCGGCCGTCGAGTCTGTCAAAGTCGCTGAAGAATTGGACGTCACTAAACTGCCCGAGGTAAACGGCCCCGCCAAAGTGAATACGGCAAAGGGAACACAAAATACTGAGACCCCCGCAAGTACATCAAAGCCGGAAGTTGCAGATGGCGCGCAATCCAGCGAGGGGCAAACGAGAGTGGGGGGGCTTTTGGAGCGCTTGAAAAAGGGGGCAGATGCAGGACGGTCAGGGATCGCGGGATCGTTGGCGGAGTCAAAGCAATTGCTTGGAGCGGGAAGATCTAAAGTCGGGGAGATCGTTGGGCGCGTAAAAGAGGGCGTTTCGGATAAGATAGGAGGAGGTAAACTTGCTCCAGAGAGTTTGCCGGTGGAATCCAAGGCAGCGCCGGCGGAAGCAAGCGGGTCACCAGGCGGGTTAAAGGACTGGTTTGGCAGCTGGACTGGCGGCAAACCCAGTGAGAGCAATACGGAATCCAGGGGTTTGTTTTCGGGGGGGTCGCAAACAGCGCAGCCCCCCGCGAAACAGGCGAGAGGATTCTTCCAGGCTAAGCCCCCCCCAAAGGAAGAGAAGACGGGGCTAGCGGGGACGTGGCAATCGCTCACAAACCTGGATTTCCTTCCGGACAACGTGAAGGGGGGGGCTTTGACGGTGAAGAGTGCGGTCAGCTTCGTACTGACGGTACTGAGTTTGGTACTATCGGTGTTTGCCAAGGCGCTCGGAGTGGCGGCGGATCTGATCGGGATCATTGCACGGGGACTGTAGAGACTGCGGTCAAAGAGAACGGTGTAAGATACAAAGAGATTCAATAAGGCGCACCTTTTGAGGGTAGACCTCGAAGTCAAACAACGAGTGCTAGCAAAATGCTGGGCTCCTGAACGCATAAGTGACCAGAATATAATGTGCGAACCTCGTAATTAAATAGTCTATGCCCGCGTCCAAGCCAGTCGTCCAGGGTCATTGTATCATACTTAGGCGCAAACAGGGCTACTGTACGGCTTGCGTTGTCATCCAAGCTGGGCCAAGGCTACCATTTATACGATTATGACCAGCTCCCTTTCATTTTTGATTGAGTGAGACCAACAAGGTATAGAGGCCGTCGTACTTTGCGATGAGATGCAGGTGGGATTGCACTTTACGCTAGCCGCCGGTTATAAGGGCCAATGATCATGTCGGAGGCAGTATATACTGGCCTGCACATGTAGGTGAAGTCTGAGGTCTCGCCAGGATTCAGCAATTGTCGGCCGCCAGTTTCTAAGGTACTATATAACAGTGTTGTATGCAGGTTGATAAAGACTGCACGGATGCGCGCTCATGACTCTATCGCTGTACCTTTACGGGGCCCTTTCAAAAATATGCTATCGCACTGATCGAGGATCCCATGGGCCAGTCGGATAGTGACATTCATGCACACATGTGCAGCGCATGATACAACAGCTACTCGCTATAGTATCTGACCATCATGTGCAGGATTCGGGTTGTGGCAGCAATTATATACTACATGTGCACAATGATGCACTATACTACTCAAATCAGCTTAATTCAATGACAGTGATAAGTTTGCATGCATGCACGGTCATGGGCCATCAACATGCAAGCGCTCATGCATTGCGCCACTGAAAACCATGCTTCTGTACGAGATATGATCGTCTGTAAGAGTAGGTCAATGCACGGCCGAAGCGTTCAAAATGCAATGTCAGAGCCAAACGTGACGTGCGATGAAGCACTTGTAGCAGCTAGGGTATAAATTTCCGCGGTATATCAAGAGGCGAGTCCAAACAGGGCACTCATGTATGTACCGAACTCGAACATTCGCTTTTAAAGCATTTCATCCTCATTTACTTAAGCCTGATCTACTTAGGTTTAAGCAATTATTCTCTAGCTCATATTGTACAGTTGGCTTTCGAATCTGAGACAGATTCTGAGATCCTGACAGTAACAGCTCTTTTGACATCAGAGTTCCTCAACGGTAAAACATTGCACCACTTGCCATATCAATGCGACCTTTTAAAGTCAGCTACAACTCATGAACCAGCGCAACGAACTGCACGGGGTTTGGCACTACTCTATCCGGCCATGTATTGCTTGGATTCTGACGCTGCCGAGGCGCCATCGGATGCTCCACTCGCGCGCGACACTTGTGCTGACGTCGGAAAGGAGCTCGCTGTACCCGTTGCACTGCGATGCACAGAAGAAAACAGAGGTTCTGCGACAATCCTGGGCGGTACCAGTTGCAATCAAACAGGCCATTTCCGCCCCGTTCCAAGATCTCCTCCTCTGCATGCGTAAAATGCTGATTGAACCTTTTGCACTAGATGGACCAGCTCCTTGTTCGGCCAAAACATTGAAAATCAAATGAATGTGACTAATGCCCATGCAGAGGCTTCCGCTTAGCAAGCGTATAGTCTTGGTCGTCTTTCCAGACGGTTCCCAGACTTGCGTGTTTGAAGCGTGTTTTGGAAGAGGAAAACCCCAAGCCGTCAAGGAATTCTTTGGTTTACAACCTCCTGGCACCTGCAAGAGCCTTCCGCTCCATCGCACGTGCCTCACACGTCCGAGCAGCGTCTTTGAGTCGTCACGGAAAGTGCATAGAAGGCGCTCCCGACAGCCCGCTATAGCTCAACAAATACGACAAAACAGAGACCAACGACACATTGTGCGAACCCCGCTGCCGCACCCCAAGGACAAAGGAGCTACTACTGCTGCCGTATCCCAAATATGTTCTGCCCGTTCGATATGCTCGAACCCCAATAAAACCACACAAGAGCCGGAAGCAAAGAGCGGGATCCGGAGCAAAGCACTAATTCCGCTGCACAATTCCTCAAGAAGGGCCGCTCGCAACACCATACCCAGTCCGCCCCACCGACTCGGACCTACTGATCACACGAAAGAAAGAGATGAAGAAGCAGCAAAGCACCGGCTTTTCCTCACCTTTACCGATAAAAACCGCCCCCACGCGCTTCTGGCCCGCCCTTCGACTTCACCTACTGAAGCCGCTCCTACCGGCCCCCCGCAGAACACAAACCGAAGCACTGATTCTATCTCACCATCCCCAAGAAGAGTCGCTGCCTCCGCCGTTCCCCCGCCCTTCTGGCCCTTCCTTGATATCCTGGGACAAGCTTTTACGAAGTCAAACTGATCCAAAAGCAGATATCATAAGTAAAGCATCAATATCACCTCCCCCGAGAAGAGCCACTTCCTCCGCCATTCCCCCCACTCGTCCTGCCGGCCCCGCACTCAGGCATCTCAAGAACAGAAATAAAGGAAGCAAGGGAGAACAAAGCAGAGCAAAGCACCCGCTTTCTCTCACCTTCCCCGAGAAGAGCCGCTTCCTCCGCCGTTCCCCCCGCCCGTTCTGCCGGCCCCCGGCTTCTCCATGTTGGTCACCGTGATGTCGACCCCGAGCGTCGTCTGCAGCGCGTCTAAGTCGCTCGCCAGCCGCGCGGTGCTGATGTCCGGCGGAATCGCCACAATTCCGTCCATCATGAACAGCGTGGTCCCGCCAAACGGTGCCTAGGTAGAAGCAGCCGAGAACGAACGACATAAGCTACACGGGTTGGGCGAGGGGGTTGACGACAGGGGGCTGTCAACGACGATGCTGTCTGTTAAGAAAAGCGTCGAGCTGCCGAAGAACGCTAGAAAGGACGAATAAACAACAACGTAAGCGGGAATCGATGACGTCAGCTGTTGAACTTGGCAAAGGAAATGACGCCTGCGAGTGCCGATGCCAAGAAGTGTGCCACGACGCTATGCATCAATAAGGGTACCGTGCTGCCGGAACATGCTTCGAAGAGGCGAACAGATTCAGACAATGACATTAATCAAAGAGAGCGAACTCGGTATCGCCCTTGGCCGAACGGACTTGACTTGGCGTCAGGTAGCGCAGCCTTGAGGATGTTATACTTGAGACTTGAGGCTGTGAAAGATCAGCAACCAAAAACAGACGCCATGAGTCTTGGCCATATTTGAAGGGCAACCCTTGCGACTGTGTTGTCTTGCCGCCCGCACGCTAGCTGTGGCACTCCTGGGACTAAAAGCTTGCGGGGACTGTTATTCGGAGGCAAGCCGTTACGGACATTTTGACTTCACATTAACTGTGGGACGGTTTGGTCGCCTCCCACGAACACGACTGCAGAAAGGAGAAGCATACCTCTTCTGTCCCCGTCTCGAGGCTCTCAATGTTGACGTGCAAAGACGCCAGGTACTCAGTCACGTTATACACCAAGCCTGCCAACAAAACAGCAATCTTGTGAGTAAGATCGCTTTCGAGCGGCTTTGAGTTGTTTCAAACAGTCGCTGCGGCAGTACCCGGTCCTGGCTGGATATTCGTGTCAAGGACGAACGGGCTTGAAGTAGCAGTCCAATCATCAACATCGTAAGCACCATCTGCGACCGCACTTCTAGCAGCAGAAATTTCATGAATCTGATCCGGGCACAACACGTCCAGGCCGAATCGCATCGGCTCGACTTTTGCGGATTTGCGCACGAGCGGACTTCGAACCGACCTCCCGTCTCGAGCCAGAAACCAAGGGTTGATCTGACAAATCTTACAGATCGTTAGCTTTCTAATGTGCAAAACGCCTGCGTTTCGTTGTATAGACACCATCCCCATTCAGTCGGCCCCCGAGGACTCACCAGGGTTGTCGGCCCCCCGCAAGGAAATACGGCGGAAGCGTTTCTGCAATTTCTTCAGATACGAGGGGTCCTCGCTCGTCCACCGGGTGAAGACGTGCAAGCCCTCGATGTCGCTCAAGCTCGACCGGATCTCCTCTGCTCGGCTTGGGACCCTGCAAGAATCAAAAGAGATTCGTATTCAAACAACCTGGAAGATCTGGAAAATGGAAACAACGATTCGTTTAGGTTGAGCAATTTAAACAACCAACGACTGGAAGATTTCAAGACGTGCAGCCGCAAACGAGTGCCCAATCGAACTTGAAAAGGAAGCCGTCCGGTTCAAGCGCCAGGAAACGATGTTTGCCGAAAGCGTCCCATGATTGCAGCACACAGCCTACGGCGGAACCACCTGTAGGACATTGAATCCCGAACCCTCTTTCTGCCTAAAGCGGAAGGCATTACGGGCCACGCATCCCGGTTGTCAACATCCACACAACTTCGCATCCTTGTTCAGAATCCATCTAATGGTGCGTCCCTTAGAACGCATCGTAGCACAAGATCGCTCTATATTGGCCAGCTAAACACGTTTTCCGCACGGCCAACTATTACCATCCAAATTGGCCAAGTTGCACCTGTCGTAATGAAGCCAACAAAGTAACCCGGCGAGGCTTGCTGCTTTCGATACTCAACAAACAAATGCAAAGAATCAAGCTGCTCACGTAGCGTCCACAGTAACTAGCATGAGGATGCTGAAGTCGCCCGCGAGGCGTGCCATTCTGCTCTCCTCCACATTCCCCCCCAGCTCCAGCAAGCGCTTGCTCAGCCGCGACACGATGCCCGGCCGGTCGGGGCCCGACGCTGTCATCACCAGCTGACGGACTGCGATACAGACAACGGAAACGGGTTTGCGTTCCACATAACCAGGTGACATCTTATATCTCCTCCTAACAGGACAAGAGTGGACTCTTGGGGGCCTACACGGACCTTGCTTGGCCACAGCCCTCTTAAGGTCGAAGATAAAAGTTGCCAGCTTGAGATCAACTGGAGCCGCTGATGGGGGAGGTGGTAGCAGGGCTGGTTCCTTTTGATTCGCTTTACGTCCAATGTTCTCCCTCAAACGGTTCTGACAATCGAAAGGCGGGGGCAGTAAAGACTGCACAGCCAACTGGAAACTGCATGTGCACGCTGAAGACAAACCTCAGCGTATGAGTCGAGACAAAGGGGACTGAGTCATCACTGCAGACATATATGCGCACCTTTGTAGTGGTCCTGGAAGTCAGGTGAGGAGACGCTGCCAGTGGTGTGGAAGGGAGCATACGGCGTGAGCTGGCTGAAGGCGGGGAGCGACGGAGCGTAGTGGGATGCTGAGCTGGGCCATCGGCTCAGGTCATCCTCTGAGTAGCCAAACAGACCTGTAGGAAATGAACGCCGTTGACGAGTGAGCACATCAAAGAATGCGGGCTACTTGCCAGATAAGCAGTTGGGAGACCGTTTGATTGATGACATGAAGACCATATATTCGGCCATGGTCAGAGTCAGATTTCTGGGTGACCACGAGCGCAATGGGCAGATCCTGAACAAACTGCATGAAAGAAACGGTCACTATGACATTTAAAACATGGTTCAACTCAGCGTCCATTTATATTGGGCCAATGTCATCGCTGCAGCAAATACATGGTATGTCCATCAACAAATGCATCCAATCTGGACCTCATTCAATGCTCTGCTTTCAACGTACTAGAAACAGTCTGCCAGCATCTGATGCAGGGGTGATGGGTCTGTTCGACCCCTCAGTTGTGAGCTGCCAGTATTCTCATCGCACACAAGGTGATCATAGGGCCCGAAACAACGGGCAGTGCGGTGCGGCCAGGATGCTGCTTGCACTGCTTGACGTCAAGTAGGACTTGACAATGAAGCCACTCTACTCCAAGTAGTCAAGTTTGTGGTTTGTCAACTTGAAGAGCCTCAATCATGACAATTGTAGATGCAAACCCTAAACACCTCCTGCTCAGCAAACTTCAGAAGGAGCGCGGCCTGCTTACAGCAGTGATTCACACATGGCCAGCAATGCAACCTCAAGTCCGTGAAGCGACCTTATCAGCATGTGCAGTTGTCAAGGTTTGGGTTGTGGCTTCATTCTCCTTGTTGACTTTCATAAAGCACTTTCTTTGAAAGCCACTTGCATTTGTGAACTTTACGTGGCAGAACTAGGATTCATGCTATCCAAACAATGACATAGAGGTTAGAATGAGGACCTATGACGTGTATATATTGAGCAGACACCCATATTTGAATAAGTACCTATCTGCAAACATGCATGAAGCTCCACATGCCGAGAGCCTGATGATACAATAAGGAGAGAAGCAATCGATATCCACAGCCAGACCATATTCAAAGTACAGACGTATCAAAATGCAAATGATTATAACCAGGTTGGAAGGGGCACATACCCGATTGCAACCACCTACAGCATTGCAGGAGTCTCGTTCCCTGGCAACCAAGAGCCTCTCTCCTCACAAGTTCTGGCCTTCCCAACAGCCGGGCAAGATGCCAAGCTCTCAACCCCAGCATAGCTGTTGAAGTCTCTCGTTAACTCCTTCCTCCGTTGTATCCTTTCCCGCGCAAAAGAAAGAGATGCTCGAGAAAAGCAGAACTCTTTCTCCTGGACCTCCGGCTCCAGCTATAATCCTGAACAAATGGTAATCATAAACTCTTCTGGAAAGGGAGGCAGACCGCCCATGAAACAGAAGCTGCAGAACAACTTGAAGTTGACGAGGAAGATGACTTTTATGCAGCGCCTTTAGCCTATAAAGTTTAACTTTAGGCGAGCGTCCTCTTCCGGATTAGATCACTAGGTATAAGCTTCGTGATCTATTTGAAGAGGTCAAGAGTGGTCTTTCGTCAGAGGAAAGTGCCAAAAGATCTTGCATGAGAAAAGGGCTTTTAGGGCTGTGAAGTTTAAACGAAATGGTTGGTACATAGATTGTGATGTGCGACACCATTGCATCCGAGTTGACCAAGGGGGGTTAGCTCAGTTGGTTAGAGTATTTGTCTTACAACTGCCGACGACAGCATGTCGTGAAGCAGGAGGAGCACAAAATGTCCAGGGTTCGAGACCCTGATCCCCCACATCACACGTTGCCTTTTGCTATCACTCACCCTTTTGCTGGGCAGCTTGTTACGTATCTAGTACAGCTGCCTTCAATGCGCGAGTGCACCATTGGTTTGCAATGCAGAGATGATTTAACGGTTTGCACACATCAACTTCTTCACAGCTTCCTTCAATGACCGAGCCCAATGAGAATGCAACTTAAACGGCCCTCCATATACCACTGCCATTCTGCCATGCTATGTGATCGAATTAAGCACATGGCCGCAGCACAGAAACACGGAGGTTCGCATAAGTTTTCCTCCATATGCAATTAGTAAGTATGCCTTCGGTTCCTATATATAGTTCAATCATTCCTCAGACCTACGACGCTAAGTTTGGGACCAACCTTACTGACGGGAACTGCCGAACACCGATGCTACTAAGATTGGACAAGTTGATCTTGAATCTTGCTAATTCCTATGTTCAATTCGTTTGGGTTCACATAAATTCTCAATCTGCAACATGACAGTGAAGCATGAGATTTGTTGATAGAGCTAGCGCGTCTTCACATTCGAATGTTGGTCATCAAGAGCTTCCTAAAAGGAAACCTCCAACGTCCAATCAACGACATCTAGATATCCCTCGTGAAGCACCACCTTGTATCTCTATGATTAGAATTCACCCTTGACGAAAATCTCAATAACATACCACCCCATGCATACCATTCAAGACGAGACGAGCAGACATGAAGAGGTGTTGTACATCCGAACGGCATGAAGTTGATTGACCTTGTCAGCATACTAGGATCGTATACCCCCCCTAAGCGCCACTACTTTCACACTCTAAAAAGCTCCAAATCAAGCACCGGGATAGAATGCGCCACAAATTCCTCAAGTACCATGTTCAAGTAGCTGGCATGAGTCCCTTGTTGGGGGAAGGAGGTACAAACAGATTCCTCCCGACAGCAACAATTGCAACTCTCTATTGCAATTGCAGTTAGCTCGTCTTTACAATCTTGAGTTCTACCGTACTCCTTGAAATCAGTGCCTTACATGGGTGAAAGACACAAGTCTTCTTCTGGAGGAGAGCGAGCAACCGGCAGACATCAAAAGTAAGCTCTTCTTGCTCATAATGTCCACCGGTTGCCAGTCCCCCTCCACAAGAGACTTGTGCCACTAGCAATTTGCGATTCCAGCAACATCTATGCAATAGCCCTATGCTTACATGATACTAGACAAACCTCCAGCTCTTTTGAAGTACCCCCCCAACACCTTCAACCCACTACCCCCTGGATGGAAACAAGCAACCGGCAAGCACCACGTGCAACAACTAGTTGGACGCAATGCTCACCGGTTGCCAGTCCCCCTCCAAGAGAAGTGCCTCGCAAGAAGCTGACTCTCTGCAGAGAAAAAAATCTGTAAGATCTTCGGCAACCTTAGAGACTTGCTACAAGCTTCCTTAATAGATGGCAACAACCCAATAAGACCATACAAGCAACACAAATGCAAGATCAAGATACACCGACCTTGGGCAAGCTTCGCTTGTAGGCAGGGGCACAATGCAGAATGAGCCGTATCTGAACTTGGTTAAATTTAAAAGAGCAAACAGCTCAGCTGCTAATAGCAAGACACTAACAAGCAGAATTGGGGCATATGAGGGGCACACTCCAAGAAGTGAGCAATCTGTATGCTGGCCCAGCAATGAAATGCAAACAAAGATTTGAAATAACACCCGAACACCAAGAAGTCAAGTGCGTGACACAAAACAGGTGCACAAGAAACAGGACATTGAAGTAATTGAAGCTTCAACAGAAGCGATTCATCTGACCCCAACAAGCTGAATTTGTTAGATAGCCTGGGAACAACCAGGTCTACATGACGGGGTGTAAGCTCACAAGTCCGCGGAAAACTCATATGTAAGCAGGCGCTCTAGAGGAAACATCAAATGTAAAAGGCAATCACCCGCAACCCCTAGTGTAAAAGCTTTCATGACAAACTTCAATGTGGAGCATTTGTTGATCAATGAAATGCCTCCAAATAATAGATTGAACAACATGCAAAAAAACACCAGCAGAGCTTCTGTAATATTAAACCAGCCAATATGTCTTGAAAATGTGGAGTAAGCACATTGCAGGGCAGATGAAGAAGATAAAGAACGAAACGCACTTGGATTACAATCTTTCAGATTTTTCAATCTTTTTGAACACGACGCTAACTGAGACTCACACACCAATTGATTGAGTACACAGGCCCCTGGTACAGGCTGGCAGCCCTAGCAAGGTGGGGTTACTGTCTGATCGCCCACAATAATCAATGCAGTAGAAGCTTTGATTGTACTTGGCACATCTTACATCTCCTGCAAGCTCTGTTACAGCAGTCCCCTATGACAAGCAATCTGTCAGACAACTAATGAGAGAGTCTCTGACCAGAGACTCTGAAGACATTTCGTGACAAACCAAACAAAGACCAGTGAGCTTGTGCAGCAGGTGCAGATTGCACTGATCGCTGAATGGTGCGCTGGACGGATAAAACATCGAAGTTGTCTAACCAGAACGGCCCGCAAATTAAGCTTAAAACCCTTGATCGATCCAAATCCTGTTTTCAATCACCATTTTGAATTGAAATGCCACCCATGAAGGCATCACTCTGTGCGAACCTGAAAGAAGAAGAACTTGGTAGACCACCGTCTGTGAGCCTCCTGATATCTCCCTGAAACTGCACATGCATCTCATTCCTATAGCGTTAACTTCCCGACAAATAGGCAACACATACCTCAAGTGGTGACCATAGCTTACCTTATATTTTCGCAGGCTGCTGGGCTGTAAAATGGCGAACCCCAGAGGACGCAATTCTGCTAACATCAAATACCATTCTGAGGACGTGATCCTTCGCCTGGAGGACCTGGCGGTTGTCCAAGAAAGCTTCACTTGAACAAGGCCAGTCCATTTTGCGAGCTGGCAGGGTCAACCAATAACCTGAACAAGAGAGTTTTCAATGATCAGAACCTGAGTGAGGGGAGCGGCCAAGAAGCATCCAGGACTTCAGGGAAACCTATGCAAGCATTTAAAGCCACACTTGTTAAACCCAGTCGTTATCACACTAACACGTTAGAAATCAAGCAAGACAGCAAATCAAGAACAAAACAGAGGTGACAAGCATTTAAATTGCTCCCATGTCTAAGAGGAGCTAGCAGCTTGCAGCCGGCTTAGGTGCAAACTGGGGTACCTAATCGAGAAGCAATGCCCTGAACAAAAGAAGCTTAGAAATCATTCAAGTTGCAGGCTTACCTGACAAAGGTTTCACTAGTACAGGCATCCATCTGTTGGGTGCAGTCAGTGCCAAAGAAAGATCCGGAAACCATGGTAAGGACAGTCCTCTAAGTTCACGCCATTTTAAGAGCTCCGACAACCCGCTATGGCAACTCATACATTGATTATGGCAGTAGAGAAATGCGACACCTGGAACAAGCGATGGCCCTCAATGGGTGAGAGCACCATTGCTTATAAACCCGCCTCGCACACCCGCTGTTCTTGGATTTATTAGCACCAGGCGGAAATTCAGGGGCATGAACCAGCTGGTCCAGCTCGTGGGTCGTCTTTGAAGTTTGATCTTCTTCCAAGCTTCATGCAGGCGCCATGATTCCGAACTTGCGCGCTAGCTGGACCGTTGAACCACTTCTTACATTTACCGTGGTACGGTAGGCTTTTACTTTTGTTGTACAGGTCGGGCCAGGACTTTCGTTCCGAAAGAACGACAGTTACTGTCGTTGACGCTGAAAAGTTCCTTGACGACTGCAGAAAGGGCCAGGTCCAGTCAGACATTGCTTGCGGTGTCAGTGTCGAGGGCAGACTTCTCAATCGTCGTCGAACTCACGAAACCGTCCACTGCAACTTCCCGGTGACTTTCTGAAATATCTAACGCGATCGGATCCTGTCACCCGGTGCCTACACTGCCAGAGAAAGCGTTACGTACTCCGGTTCTGACAATGACATCTTAGATATTGTCAATCATGATCATCATAGCGTACCGGCACTTTTGTTGGCGGGCCTTGGGAGTGCTAATAGTGGGCGTTGGCGAGGTGTATGGTCGCTTGAAATTGGAGGAAAATGCAAGAAATATCTAATCTGAATTCGAACTGTGTTTGTCATCGAAAACGCAGCAACACTGGATGGTAGCCTTTAAGACCCCAGTACGTACCTCAGTGGCATTTATGGAACCATCATAACAACCCGCCTGACAAAAAGTTTTCAAAAGAGGAGGGAAGTTGACGTGGCGGCTCGGGAAGTACACTTGAGGAACACTTCGAATGCCACGAATATCTACGAGTCCCACGCGTGAAGCCTCCACCAATAAGAACACCTCAAAGTTCCAGGTGGGACGCCGAAGTTTGCGGGACGGTTGGTGTCAGATTCAAGTCTCCTTCCATTCCTCCGCAAGGTCCCACGTGACGGTCAAAGGCACGGCGCAACGGTAAGATGGCCGCAAGGAGCAGATTCGTTGAGCTTGCATGATGGAATGATGGAAGAGTACGTGTGCTAGCTCGCAAGAATAATCATTCCACAACGCTTCAATGCAGACTCAGAAAGCTTGTTTTAGAGGTTGCCAACGGCGGTGTGCGTCAGGAGAGAAAATCACAAAACTTGCGATAGATGACCCGTAGCATTAGTAGCACTATGTGCAAGTTGCTTTTAAAAGGCAGTCATGCATCGCCTCAAACCCTTCAATCTTTCAACGGTGGTCTGCACATCAATATATGTAAAGTAGAAATTCTGCTTGAAGACCTCGCTGCAATGCTGTGGCGAGTTGCACGGAGTTGCTGCATCCGATATCGAAGTGGCCAAGCTACCTAGTTACGTCTAATTAATTGCAGCAACATCAAGTCAAGTCATGGCTTTCTCCTTCTAGGGCCTCAAACAGGCATTGGAGAACATCCTGTGGAATCACTCGAGTTACAAGTCCTACAATGGTACACGCTCTACTATGCGACTCCAATGAAAAGTAGAAGAGCATGCCCAAAGTGAATTGCACTCACTCGAATATGCTGAAACTCCCCATCAGTCCAACGATTTTGTCGATCAGTCCAAACTTTGCTTGCTCCCAACAGAGCCGATTTGCTACTTCAGCACACTTTGCAGCTTTTTCGGCAGCTTCCAGCATATTGTGGAGAACCCACCATGTAGTCCGGGTTCTTCTCACATTCCCCTTGAGCTGCCCATTGATCGCAATGCTCGTTGACGTCTTCACATCCATTTGGATCCACCTGTCATGGTTGTGTAGATGTCAGCCATCAATTCCACGCAGAAGTCGCTATTTAAGCCAACAAATCAAATGGGCTAAGTCCACGCGCTCGACAAAATACATAGGTGCTCAGGAGTCCAGCGCCACTGTGTCCTATGGTGCGAAAACCCCATACACCAACCGCAACATTCAGGGAAAACGTTTTCAGGATTTGCTTTGAACTTCGGACACAATTTGCCAGAATCAATTTAAAACAAGGGCCCATCTGACAACAAAGTAAATCAGAAGTAAAAAGCGGAATACCAAAAAGTGCTCCAGGCCTCTGAACACAAAAGACACACAATCAGGGCCGGACGCAAATATGTTACAGCAGCAATGTCCACAAGCTCGTGCAAAGGAGTCATAGCCGTCCCAAGATAGCTGTGAACTCGTCTGCTGCAGACAAGCGCAGTCGACGAACTTAGTGATGGTTGAAGGTGGGCAGCAATTGCACTCTGACCCGGTTGATCCAAGCGCCCCGTCCCTAGGTTGCGCCTTTTCGTCGATCCAAACAGTCGCTTGAGCAAGCTTCGCCAGTGCAGAAACCGTGTCAGACAGACCGCAGTTGAAGTGGCGAGAGCAGCATACCTTCGGCCTATCGAAGGACGCCACGTGCATCCATTTGGTGGCGCTCCACTTCTCGCCCTGCTCGACTGGGCAGCCCCCGTGCAGGCTGTTGTCGTCGGTGGAGGCGTCGGGGTGCAGGCTGAAGAACAGGAGCGCGTCTCCTTTCTTCGGCTTGACTGTAAGAAAGCAACCGAACGGTAAGCTTGCGTCACAGGTCAGATGATAGACTGGAGTGGATGAGGTGCCCCTTTTTCTGGTGGCACCAAACAGGTTCCGCTCTGGGTCCCCCTTTGTTAAAAATCGGTTAGTCCTTTCTCAGGTTCTTGATGCCAAGCCTGAACGTTTTGTGAACCAAAGTTTCACTCGTGAGATCGTTCGAGTGCTGATCGCGACTGCAGCCTCAATTTTGCTTTGGTCGAGAAAGCTATCAGGAAGCTCTTCTCTTTTACACGGCCCACCACTTTGACCAAGTGCAATGCTGTGGCGCACCCTCAAAAGCGGTCATCCTCACGGATCGCAGCTGCCCTGGTGTTTCTTATTGCGGTCCAGAAGGGGAAAATGAAAGCGAGTAAGTCGACTGACGGCTCGCACAGCGACCGTTGTCTTCGAGTCCGCCGACAATTTGAAGAGTAGTCGGACTAGAAGAAAGGATTTTACGGAACTGCGTCTGCTAAAACGAAGAAAAGGGGACCAGTTGCAGATTACACAGACGAAGGGAATGTGCGCCACTCCAACAGGAAATGGAGGAGAGTCTCGTCCTTGCATAGTACAACGGCGGGTCGTAGTGACCCTCTTTCCAGAACCGGTAGTCACTCAACCCGTCTACCCAAGTCGATTGAGCTGCTCCAAAAAGCCGATGATGTTTCGTCACGTCTCCGGGCTGCTTAATGTGGGCGTCTAACCACGTGGTTCCGCACCAATACCTGCGCAAAGCGTCTTGCTCTGGCCTCACTGAGTAATTCGTCTCTGGTTACTCCATTGAGAGACTCGAAATATTGGCATACGGACCAATTGACCACCGCATGGTTACGGGCGCCACGCTGACCTCTTTGATACAGTATGATCCGCTTACCTGCAACCCCCTTTTTGGCGCACTCGGACCAGGTGTCGTCCTTCAAGCGGGTGTCGGGCTCGGACTTGGGGAAGACCGTCTCCCCGCCCTTGCCTACGTGGCTCAGGTACATGAGAACGGTGGCAATGCGGTGGCCCCCCAGCTGGATGTTGTACTTGTCGTGGAAGAAGTCGAAGTGCGGGTCTGCGAAATAAGAGACCCGGCATCGTGTTAAGTGTTGGTAAAGGTCTGGAAAGCTGGGCAAAAGAAGAGGGAGCGAAGACGCTCTAGACGATTAGGGACGATGTTGATACTTGTCGTGGAAGAAGACAAAACGAGGATTTGCGAATAAAAGACCCGGAGCGAAACGAAGCCATTGTTTTCATCAAAGGGGTCGCAAAACAAGGCGAAAGAAGAGGAGTGAAGAAGCTCTGGTCGAAACAGACTAACGTGTACTCAACGAGAAAAATGTCAGAGTGGGGATTTGCGGAAAGGAAAGTTTCTGTGAAAATGAAGGCGATTGGCTTTGGCGTCATTCAAGCGGTTGGAACGCGGGGCGAGGAAGCACTAGACGTATACGGACTGTTGTTGGACTTGTCGATGTGGGATTCTGCGAAAATCTCATTGTGGATGGAGGCAATTGGTGTCGGCAATCTCTCAAGGTCTTAAAAAGCGGGGCGAAAGAAGAGATAGCGAACAAGCATGAGCGAATTCGCGAAGTCTGCACGGAATGTTGTTGGCTCTCGTCAAAGATAAATGGTCCGCTCGGTCGCTCTATCCGCCATCATGTCAAATAAGAGACTCAGGCAGAGACACGGGGAAGGCACGTAGGAGCGAAGTCGTTGTCGATTCAGTCCGCGAAGATAAATGTCCTCACAGCGGGGACGTGAGCTTCAAAAAGGGACACGTAACATGGATATGCACACATGAGCTTGAGGCGCTGAAGGGCGGGCATTTGAAAGCGGAAGTTCCTATACTGGGAAGCAGGTCGTTTGGACGATGAGAGACGAAGCAGAGGAAACGGCTCTAGTCGACTAAACAACGAGTTTTCCAGAATCCTATTGAGGCGCCATTCTATTTCCAGTTCGTCTGCTGATGGATCCGAGTTCGATCCGAAGACGACACCTAGAGAATAGTGCTGACTGACGGCCGTCCCGGATCAAGACCACAGCTATGCATCTGACCAGCTTATTACGGACACGATGTGGGTACAAGCGTTGAGCGTACTGACCGTATTTCTGGCCGTGCTCGTAGCGCAGCACCTGGATTGACTCGCCGTTTTCTGTAACAAAAGCAGAGTCAGAGTCAGAACTCAGATAGCAGCTCGTGAATGACGCGTTAGATCGGAGACTAAACAGGCCTCAGATATCAAACATTTTATCCAGCTTCAACGTTCAGTCGGAATTAAAGTGCCGTTTTAACCCTGTGTACACACACAGCTTACTGCCTAGGCGGTGCAGGCAATCAAGGAGGTCAAAACGTCGGTTTTTCAGCTCTCCTGCTCAATTGAACGAACAGAACTTAGATTTTACTCCAAGGGGGATCCTGATTGTGGAATCAGGACTGAGATTGAGAAAATTCATTGCTAGAATGATTGGCGTTACTGCTGGATAATGTTTTCAACTTACCAACAGGAATGAAGGTCCATGCAGCGATCTTGGCTTCTATTCGTGCAACAATCTCGTCCTGCAAAGGTAAAGATTGGATGCATCCCTTGAGTCTACTGAGTCAAGGAAATCAATGTACCGAACTCGCAGGTAAAGAAGAGCTAAACGTGTGTCTGCTTTGATATGCTCTCGTCCTCCTTCTGGTAAAGTTTCTGAGATCGCACCCTGTCCTGAAAGTCCATCTGTTGCCCGTGAGTGATGCTTGATAAGTAATTGTTTCATCATTATTTTTTCATCTCTCTCTCTCTAACAAGCATCGTTTATGACTCAATCAAGCTGAAAGCTATCTTGAGGCCAAGCCATCAGCGCCCAGTCCCTCAATGCCCATTTCGAAAGCGCGGCACAATCATGAAGAAGACAAATACAAGCACTGGCCAGACCTTGGCGCAGCGGCCCTGACGATTGCTACTTATCATGCCCTCAACTCGTGTGACGACTGTCGCTATGAAACTTTACAAGATGGTAGATTTGAATTCTGCAGGTACTAGCAACCTAATGTCTCCAATTGAGTGGCGGCTTTAGCAGTAGCACGTTCTGAAGATGGTGACTTCGACTTCCTTTGTGCATGACGGATAATCAGTTCGTAGGCTCAAACCAAGTCTGCTCAGTTGCGACCAATCCCTCTGCAACACCCCTTGTTGCACTACCCCAACCCGCCCCCCCTCACCTGGCCCTTTTGCAGGAACATGCCAGAGCTGGTGCGCACTTCGCTCGGGACGCTCTCCCCCGAGGTGCTATCAGCCACGGTCGACTTCTGGAGCTTGTCGCGGGCCTGTAAGCGGTCAGACTAGACAGTTTGCTTCTGGAGGGGTGAGAATTGGGTGCCGCACCTGAGCTTTACGCAGGAACATGCCGGAGCTGGTGCGCCCCTCATTCACAATGCCACCCCCCGTCTTGTCATCTACCACCACGCTCTGCTCGAGATTGCCCCGCGCCTGTACAAAGTGCACCCAATGACAGGCGTTGAAAACTATACTAAATGACAAGGTTCTCAACTGAGACCTGCCCAGAGGTGCACTATCCTAAATTCGAAAGTGTTGCCCCCAGACGTGTGCACAAAGGGCAGTCACACAAGCAGGGCATGAAAGGAGCTACAAGTCAGATATGCCCTTTCCATGCAAGACGCACATCCAGTCCACGCAATGCACCAAAGAGCCTTCTTTGAAATTCTGTGGATGCTGACGGGGACATGAAGCAAGCTCTCCAACAAGATAGAGTCTACTCGAAGCGGACTCTGGTATGATTGACAAGAATATCTGCCAGCGCCCTGCAAGTGCAAGCAACATATCTCCTGAATCTTGTTGGGCCACAAGAGCATGAACATGTGATGTCCTTGGCTGGTGTATCTTGCCCTTAATGACAGCAGAAAGTTGCAGTTACTTACCAGCTCCACTAGATGGTCGCACTCCTCGTCAGTCAGGAAGCCATGGTACACCCAAGCCCTGAAGGCAAAAAGAGGAAGGGGTCTGAGGAAGTTTTCGCCCTCGCTTCACACCAACATTGTCATGAGCACACAAATCCTTTTATCGACTTCTCAAAAGATCCAGATGGACTAGGAGGTACAAGGTCCCCTGTTAGTAACCAGCAGGGTAGGCAGCCTGGTCAAGTGAAATTCACCTCTGCTGTGCAGATGTTTGCTTCACACCACTTGACAGGCCCTTGACGGATCGATAACAACGATACAGCTTGTTCCTGTGAATGAGTGCTGGTTGAGTCTAAGGAAGTGCAAAGTTGAAAGGAGTCCCACTTACCTGGGTTTCCAGGACAAGTGCTCCACTTTTGTTGGATCGACGTGCCAGCTGGATTTGGAGACCACCTGCTGAATTGTGTCTGCCTGCAGCTGTTTGCTGGTCTGATGACTGCAAGAAGGGGCAATGAGGTCTTCAGGCCTTGATCGAGTAAAGTCATGACTGGAGCAGTAGCAGGCAGGTTGGGCATTCCCCTTATTGAATTGACGGCAATAGACACGAAGGAGTATCAGTCTGGCTGTCAAAGCTTTTCAGTTCAGACTCTAGAAGCAGGTCAGACCGAGGCTTCATTGAAAGTGTCGGAGAGCAGTCAGAGGCTCGTGAAAACTGCGGACATCTGGTCGAAGTATGCAAGCATCTGGATATGATGGAGGTTCCCACATTTTGGAAGAACCATCATCAGATTGAGGCAGCTGTGAGCAATCAGATTGCACTCTTAGCTCCTTCAGCTGCTGAGAAGCCTTCTCTACAATGGTTGAGCTACATGCTTGCAAACTCACATGAACACATTACACAACCCTAATCCTTGTATCGTCCTTCGGAGCATGAGAGTGCACAGATTGTATGCCCACCTTTCGCCCAGCCACCCAGGCAGATCATCTGCTTGGCCAAGCCCCCTCACGGGTCCAATCGCTGAAAGACCGATCAGAAATCCAGTAAGAAGCAGCACGTGCCCCATTTTGGCCCCTTTTCCAAATAACTTGTCCCAGAGGCAGAAGAAGCAGGCAAACGGTTGTGGAGCTTGTGGTCCTCACGCCTAAAAGCTGAGAGTCATGTCCTGGGCAGTGCCTGCAGGGCTACTTCATGCGTCCTTGCGCAAGCTCTCATTTGGTCCTCCTCCACATTGATTCTGACTGGCTACAGTTCAGTGTACCTATTTTTGAAGTCTTTTGAAGACAGGCACGGTTTTAAGAAAGAAAGTTGATTCTCAAAAGGGCATCCCCTTGACACACAGAGCAGAGCAAGGCTCCGAAGCGACGCAGAGATCTACCACCTATGCAACCGATTCTCAAGAAATGTGCACACAAACCGATTGGTATAGAATCAGCTCCTCCTATAGCAGACTGTGATGTCCTTGACTTGCTGACCACTTTTGCTTCTCTTGTCATTGACTCGTCTGTCATTGCTGAGGCCCAGGGAGACGCTCAGCTTCCCAGCTGAGCAGCTCCAGCTTCCCTAGCTCCGCATCTGAACATATTGGAGCAGCTTTACAGCCTCCTGCTCCGTTCAATTTCAGTACTCTTGGCTTCTGCGATTGCAGCACAAGTTGGACGTGTTGATTCTTGCAGAAAGTGCACTCAACACCAACAAGGTTCTTTCTATGCGAGCAATGGCATGGCTCTAGCCGCTAGCTGTCACATTGCACTTCGAAACTTCTCCAAGCTTCCTTCTCGGAACCACAAGACCACATTCTGGGCCTTGCATTCATCAACTGCACAATCGCCTGTTGCACCACTGCAATCGCTGCGCTCAACTTTTCTCCAGCCAATAGTGAGATCCAGAGGCATCCGGCCCCTCACATTTGTCCATACAACGCCTGTTTTCAAAAGGGAATTGCACCAGACTTCTGCTGCAATGGCGGAGGCCGAAGCAGGGCCCTCTCGTGGGGCATTCATCGTTTTGGAGGGCTTGGACCGAAGCGGGAAGAGTACCCAGGTGCAAAAATTGGTAGAGGTGGGTGTCTACTAAATATTCAGAGTGATTGGACTGAGCTTCCAAAGTTGTATACTCAGTGATGTCTGCAGCTGTGACAGCTATACTGTCAGATATGACAATGTTTTAGCTTGGATTCAAAGCATTTGAAGAGACGTCACTGCAAGTGGGCTTTGAGATAGTGGAATCCATTTAGTGCTCTCAAGATTCCATTCAGTGCTCTCAACGGCTGACAGATCACTTGAACCTGAAAACATCAAGTGAGCCTATTGAACATCCGCCCCTTCTGATTGATCTCGCTCTCCCCCTCTGTTGTCAGTATCTGAAAAGTAGAGGCGTCGAAGCGGAGGCCTGGAGGTTCCCTGACCGGACGACTGCGATGGGCAAGATGATTGCGTCATACTTGGACAGCAAGAGCGAGCTCGACGATTGCGCGGTGCACCTGCTCTTCTCTGCCAACAGATGGGAGAAACGGTGTGCCCCAAACCCAAACTGAGCTCTGTTTCTGATTACTTCGATGATCTGCGGAGCTGGCGATTGAGTTGGCAAAAGAGTGTCCTTTGGACGCAACCAGGATGGTTTACACAGAACGAATGCTCAAGGAAGGAGCTCAATATCGAGCTTATGATCTAGGTGTTTGAGTCTTATCTGTTTCTGAAATCGATGAACTCTTCACTTCTCACCAAGTCTTTGATTTGTCAGCTTTCTGCCCTCTTCAGAGTTGTGTTGAGTTCAGAGTTGGATCTTGTGTTCACCTACTCGTCATCTATTGAGGTCAAAGCAAATCCGAAGCCCAACTCAGGCGATTGGTTGCCTAATCTCGTTCTCCCTTGTCCTGCTCCAGCAGATACCAAAGACTATCTTCATATCTTCGTAACGAAGAGTCTAGAACTCTCCTCTAGCTGGACAGCTGGTAGCCTGGTCAATATCTGTAGTAAGTTTGATGAGATGCTTGAAGTTGATGCCGGGCATAGCCCGGATGGCACCTGGGAACTTTGTTGAAAGAAAAGAAAGAAACCCATCGTCTGTCAGTCCGTCAGGGCCGTGAAGCAAGTTGTTCCTCAAACAGGTCCTTAATGGAGGCAAAGCTTCGAGAAGGCACCACGCTCATCGTGGACCGATACTCCTACTCTGGTGTTGCTTTCACGGCTGCCAAGGGCCTGCCCTTCGACTGGTGTAAAGTGAGTCGACCGGCACTGATTGAGAGGTCCAAGGCAAGCTTCTTTGTTCTTCCGCATGTAGCTGAGTCGACTGGTTGCTGAGGTACCTGATCTGGAGATGGAGAAAATCAGAAGCTATTTATCATCTACTCTTTGGTACATGACTTGGAAGAAGTTGGCAAGTTGGCAACAAACCGAACATTTAGGTTATTGCTCTGAACATCGATCGTATGCTATCTCGAGAAAAGGTTTGCAATCTGCCCATTTGCCGATTCTAGACAAGGACTCTAGGCCTTGTGTGCTGCGAAAACTCCAAGTCGTTGTCCAGAACGCCTCGTCTTTCGTGCAAGGGATCCGCGCACTCCTCACTTTTTCGATGCATCTGGGACGGATACTCTCTTTCGTCCGTTTGGATCCTTTTGCAGCAAGGTAAAAACAGATTGTCACACTCATTGTGTGGGTACACATACCTCCCTGCTGTTCGACTTTGCAGGCTCCTGAGGTCGGCCTCCCGGCGCCGGACGCAGTCCTGTACCTGCAAATACCCCCGGAAGTAAGCACAGGCAATCTTTTTGATTCGAGGAGATTCAAGGACTCGCATACTTTTCATCAGTTTGAAGTAGCTTGGAGTCTTTGGCTATGATGAAACCTTATCATGATTGCTTTCTGGGACGCCATGTTCGTACTAAGAGTGTAAGTCAGCCGGGACTTGCTGCAGCTCCTTTCGCTGACAACCTTTGACGGGTCTGCCTTCCGAATTGTAACAGGTGTCTTTTCACCACTTTGAGGGGGAAGGCTGGTCCCTCGAATCCTCTGGGCTTGTTCGATTACAGCTTTCTATATAAACTGAATTAAAAGATAGCTGATTTGCTGATCTGTGTTACTCTCCTCGGATCGCCCAGCCTCGTCACGACTCTGATAAGCGCTGCAAGGAGATGTGTGGAAACCTCACCCGGTCGCCATTCTGAGAACGCAGTAGTCGGGCTCTTATCGGCAGCCCTGAATTTCTCGATAGTGAGGAGTTCCTAAGAGTCTTTCAAAGGTCCAGCAGACACGTATCCAGATCCTATGTAAGTGAACATTTGACGTTTAAACTTCGACCCCTTTGACGAATGAGAGGAAAGCCCTCCGCACGACCAGACCCCGCAGTAAGATTAGATTCCCTCGGCACGAGATTTGGGAGCGCCGTCTGTTAACGGCTTCTGTCCGCAGCCTATTTGGATCTTTCCAATTGAAGCTTTTCTCCAGCGAGGGCCAAGCGTGGAGCACTGACCGGGAGTTGATCTGCTTTGTAGGCCGCGCTGGAGCGTGGCGGGTACGGAGAGGAGCGGTACGAGAAGCTAGACTTCCAGCGGGTCGTGGCGTCCAAGTACGAGCAGCTGCGAGATGCCACGTGGCAGGTGAGGCACACGCTACTGGTGGGCTTGTTTACACCAGACCACGAAGTCCGCATTGCAGCTGTTGCTGAAGGAGCCTCTGAGCTGTCAACATACCAACGGCGAAAACCGTTTTCAGGTTTCAACTCTAAAGAAGTTGTGAGTTTGAAGCGCCCTGAGAAGAGGTTTTACTGGCTGGGACGTGCCTGTTTAGCATCGACACAAAGAGATGCTTGCCGTTCAGAAGCCTCGAAACCGTCGGCTGGGAATCGCTGGGATGGGTTTGGCTGGTAATGGGTTCGATCGGGTGCCTCGACATGCCCCCTCGGCCGTCTTTCAAGCCTGGAAGTTTATCCGAAGTAATCCATGCAGACTGAGCAATTTCTGCAAATGCTGCATGAAGAAGAGGTTGTGCGTGTACGTGCGTCTGCTCTCACACGCGTCTTCTATACTGCAGGACATCGATGCGCGAAAGGGTCCAGACGAAGTGCAAGCTGTGCTTCGGCCCATCGTTGACAGGATGGTCCAAACATGTAAACAAGGGAGGCCTTTAAGCCGGCTTTGGCCGTGACCCCATGACAAAGTTCATTTCTTTCTTCGCCCCAGCCTCCAAGAATGCGAATGCATAAGCACAAGCAAGCATGAGCAGCGCCTTGATCTGTTTGGATGATGTTTTGCACTACGATGCTGTCGCGTGATGGGTATGGTTGTGGAATGGCACGTGGATCCTGTCGATCATCCTGCATAGATTAGGGCCTTGGAGCGCGCTAGGCGTGCGCTAGCTGAATCTGCAGAAGCACAGAGTCGCCAACTCACCGTCACTCGGATTGAGAAAGCGGATCGAATCTAGAGACATCCATGATTATTTATTCACATGTAGTGCAAAAGCCTCCTGCAGATGCGCATGTCGCGATAGTATACGGTTTGCCCGATCGTGCTCTTGATGCGGCCCCGTACATGCGCTCGACACAACTCATGACTAGCTCTGAGGCCCATTTATATAGGCAGTGATTGAACGCGCCAAGAATGTATATATGGCATGCGCAGCGTCCCGAGTGATTCAATGATTCAATGATCGATTGGCCATGCAACCGCGGGCTTGCTTGATCTCATGAGCTATAAACGTCGACGACATGCATCTGGCGCGTGACACTCATGATGGTCTCTTTTCGTTCTCGCCATACTAAGCCAAATAGGCCATAGGCTTCTCTTGGCATACATGTAAGAGTGTGTGTCTTTATAATTCAAACTGCTTTCCAATGGCTAGCCTCTACCTACCTACCAGAGGTCCGTAGTACACCGCATCAACACTACAAGTCCTGATGCATGATCAGTCATCCATGCATTGAAACCGTAGGCCGTTGAATTGCATGATGCCGTGTGCATCGACATGGCCTGGCACGCCTGCAATCTAGCTGAGGGCGGCTATCGCCCAGCCGCATATTATGGGAATTCGTCATACCGAGAATTGCTCGAAAAAGGGCAGAAGCACCAACGCATCAATCATGAAAGCCTATACTGTGCCTGGATTGCAGATCGCCACCATTTGATGAACTTTGATTCTAAACATAGAAAGCAACTGAATGTCGGATCAGTCTTGCAATCCTATCATATGCTGAGCCGAAGTGATCCTAGTATCAAGTCACAGCAACTAAGATCGGGGCTGGTTTTAGTGCAGAGCGCACCGTCGGCCCTATGTCTTCGTTTCTCACAAGCCTACTGCAACGGGAGTCAATGCTAAGCGTTCCTCTTGGAGTTTCGATGCATCTTTCGATGCTCGAAGCGAGCAGGGGTTTGCAAGTGCTGGGTCCCGTCAATCGACTTTGGACTGAGTAACTCAGTCTGGGAAGCTACGAGGGACTGATACGTAAGCTTAACCCCAGTCTGGGGTATCAACACGTTTGGCTCTTGGGCCCCAGTAAGCACGTGGGCCTCAGGAGAGAAGAGTTGCCTAGCAATATGCCTCGCTTGGAACGGGACTGGGGAGGGGTGCGATCTGGGAGGGCTGACAAAGTCCTCGGTATTCCGCTTCCGTCCCCTCGCCGGCTGCATCTTCCCTGGAGTAAAGACCGGGCTTTGTAACCGGGATATGTGATCCCGTAAGTCTGGGGTCTGAGTCTGCCAGTGGGGAGGGACTGGGGCCAGTGACCGAGATGGGGGAGTGACGGGGGTTGACGGACAGTCATCAACCGAGTACCGCTCGAACGAAGTGCCCGGGCTGGAGGCGAACGGGCCGTAATCCGTTGCAAGAGCAGGCCCCCTTGAGTGTACAACACTGAGGGGGGCACTAAATATGATTTCTCCAGTCCCGCCTTTTTGTCTCAAGTCCAGCCTTGCAGCTTCCCTTGAGTCCAAACTTGCATCATGTCTGGAATCCAAACTTGCGGAACTTGGGGAGACCCAACTTGCAGACGCCTCCTGCAAGGGCGATTCCACACGTCCGGAAGTCCCAGCGCTCTGGGCACCGTCCCTCTGTCCACGTGGAGGGCTCGCGTGCTCCCACGTGTCATAGTCTGGAAGGGTCACCTTCGGAAGCACCCGCACGGTCGCCCCGACCTCTAAATCCTCAAACCCTGTCGTTGTAACGCGACCCAAAAAGCCCCCGGCCGGAACCGCTCGCACGACGTCAGCGGATAATTGCTCCTCCGTCGTCTCGAGCTCGATCGACTGCCCGTTGATTTCGACTTCGAGCGGGGTGTTGGGAGGAACGGTGCGCGAGCAGTCCTCGAAGCGGATGTCAACCACGCAGCCGCTGATTTTGACGACGGCGCCCTCCTCGGGGAGTGGGGAGTCGTCAAGGTCGCCCTCTTTCTCCGACTCAGGATACTCAGCAAAGCGCGGCGTATCCTGCAGAAATGTACACAGGATTTATTAGCCATTTTTGTTTGGTTCTATCTGTTTGTAAAATAGATTGGGAAAATGAGAGAACAACAATGCGCTCATGGGGCGACATTCGACATCAGTGCTTGAGGGGCTTGTCCCGGAAGAGAAAGCGGACCTTTCCATGTGACAACCTGAAATGAAGGTGCGTTTCTGAATGCGCTAATACAGAGGCCCCCAGATTTGTCAGCTCACAACCACACGCACTCCAATCTGCTTCATTCCAGATGAATTCAAGAACAATCGATTTTCAGACTGGCTTCCTGGGCCACGCGTCGATGAGCACTTCGTAACGCGGCCATTTTCCACGACCGCATCATCAGCAGACTGGAAGAGCGTCCAACGGATCTTGACCCATAATCCGACGTGGTTCTCAAAGAAAACGCTTGGCCGGCGAGATCTGAGGTCAGAATTGCCAGAATCTTTCTCCTTTCAATATTGTTTCGGTTGCCCGTGTGCATACGCACCCAGTGAGCTCTCGAAGTTTCTTACCAGCTCAACCGTCATCTTGCTAGTGAGGGCAAACGGCCGGGCTCCACGTGGCAGGTCCCCTTCTTGCAGCAGCTTTGTCATAGCGCTATACAAGTCAATTTGAGAGTGCGCGTCCAGAGCAGCGTAAGACAACTGCGGGAGATAAAGGTAACTTTGGCGCCAATATATCACTGAAATAGATCGAAGAATTTCTTGAGAAAGTTTCAGAAAACAAACCGACTTTGCAGACGAGACAACATAGTGGTCTAGCCCCAGGGTCACACCCAACGAAATATGTTTCCCCAGGAGAAGAAACGGAAGATCAAGGGAACAACACGGGAAGACACACGCAGTAGCAACAGTGTTTTCGTCAGTATATCGAGTATGATGAGATAATGCCGGCCTTGTCATGACCTGCAATTGAACGACCTTCAAGATGACAACGAAATTGCAATGATCATAGCGGCCCCAAAATTGCAGTGTATAGAAGGCCAGCGGCGAGACAGTGAGCATGACTTACCTGTGAGTTGCTCAGAGGTCGAGCGGCCCAGTCGCTCATGCACTGCATGGAAGGAGACCGGAAAAGGTTAGTAGGATCAAAAGTTCGAAATGCAGAGGTATCCGCAGACCTTGATTGCCATCAGGACCTCTCTCAGCCAGGGACAGATTGTCGACTTCCGTGAGGTTGTCCCTTAGTACAGGAGGTGAACACTAGCCACGATTCAGGTACCCTCAATTGTCACTGGATTGTCAGCGAATGACTGTAAGCCTCGTTTTAACCTGAAAACGGAAGAGGTCAAAGCAACGACGACTTTTGACATTCTCACCTCGGTTTTGTCTAGTTGTTTCCCCAGGTATTGCGCTACCAGCCAGGTGAGGCCTTTCTTGCCTTCGTGTGACTGCCACAGGTTGTGGAGCCGAGCCTTCTCTGACCCCGTGGCATCAGCGATCTGACTCTGAAAGCTGGGGGTCATGAAGCGAGGGTGCAGCGAAGAATGGAAAGCCTGAAAGGAACAGACGGTGTGAATTCGCCTCCCCTCGTGCACAGAAGGGGCTGCGGCAAAGCCAAAAGAAAGGATCCGCATGCAGGCAGAGCAGCGTTTCATGCTTCATACAAGAGATTGCAAGGGAAGTATGCAAACTTATAAAGCGATTGGTGCTGCATTTCTTGAAAAGTCTCACCTGAAGCTCGACGTATGGTTCCACAACGTCAAAGCAGCGCAAGTTTGGGTAACTTTGCTGCAGCTTTATCAGATCCTGCAGATGTCAGACGAGCTTCAGGGTGGTTGAATAGGTCAAGTGTGCGAACAAAGGCACTTTATCAAATTGCTGGTTGAACAGGCAATGCTTGACACAACGTCAATAGCTTTGCAAAGAAAGCCTGACAATTCCCGAGTAGGTCGTCAGTCAGAAGTGAATGCAATCACCAGACTGAAGAGCAACACAAGACCAATCTTTCAAATCAAAATATTAAGTGGACCTTTTTGCTTACCCCACGGAAGTCGGTGCCAACTTTGATAGCGCGCGGCGATGTCAAGAGGGTTCGCAACAGATTGTCCAAGTCGGAAGCACATTGTGACTTGCAGAGACTGATGAGATCGAAGAGAAAGACCTGGTCTTTCAAAGCAACCTGGCAGGAGAATTGGCGCATGTTCAGAGGACACCTTTAACCAGTCTGTTGGATATAGACAGTAACAAAAATTGTGCAGTCTGTACCAACACCTTGTGCTCTTCCTTTCTATGAATAAAACTTTGCATCGTTGGCTTTGGTAGCTGCGAGGCTCGAATCCTATTAGACTATAACCAGCTTGCTTCTTGGAGACCGTATGCTTCTTCAGGAAAAGGTGCAACCTGTGATGCAAAAAGCAGTTCTTAACTACAAGGGGCCTAGCACATGACCAGGCAGAACAATCTGTAGATTACTCTGATGGTGCCAAAAATGAGATGCAAGCTATTGTCAAGTCCACACCTCAAAAACAATCTCGAATCCTCACTTCAATTCAGATCAGGCGTTTGATCAAGCATTCATCACTCTGCAAATGCCTTTAGTAGGAGTTTACAAACTAGAGTCCAGTCCAAGCTAGTGTTGGTCTCCTTACCTGCAGAATAGACGTCCTGCTCTCATTTCTAAACCGCTCTGGCCTCCATTCTGTGTCAAGCCCCACAAGCTGGGCCAGCAGTGACTCTTCCTGGTCACCAGATGAACCAACTTCATCACAGTCTCCATGCGTGACTTTCTTGATTTCGGAGACCTCTAAGCTGGCCAGCAGAATGTTGCCAGCATCTTGCAGACTCTTGTCACCATGTACAAAGACGATCTGCAATCAACAGTGGCGCTTTCAGTTGGCAGTACCATCATTGCTGCGATCTTGACTGCAACCACTAGAGTCTCGGAGACAGATTCATCTGTTCTTCAGACCATAGATAAGCTCTTCAGACCACAGATAAGCTGCCCAAGCATAGCAGACTCCATGCAGTTGCATAGACCTTTGTAATACATCCCACAGACTTACTCCCAATGACTTTGATAAATTTCCATAAGAAAGAGTCTCAACTTACCGGAAGGTCCCCCAGCTCCAAGGTAGCCAGAAGGGCTTCTGCCATGATGCTCAATGGTGTGCTCAGACCTCCTGAAGACCTCCACCAGCGTCCCAAGCAATGGGGAAGCAATGCAGCAACCTTCGAAGATTATTCACTGAAACTGGGGCCGCTAATATACCCGCCGCCTTCGTTGACGGTCATTGACATTGGGCACGGTAATTTTGATAACGCGCCGGCAAAGCATACCACTGGCTCACTGCCAATATTCCAGGTAGACCGCCGGGTCCAGAACAAGGCCCAAAGTGCTTCGGAACCGTCGAACAAGGGGCAGGCACTGCCCCAACAAGACATGTAGGCCGTTCGATGACACCTTCCTCACGTCTGATGTCACCAAGTTTTTGCCGGTCCCACTTTTCTCGTCCTAAACCAGTCAAGACTGCGGCCCTGAATGAAATTTCAGCCAATGCGAAGCGTCCTTCACGCATCATGAAGGGGACTGCTTAAGCCCCACACTTTTCGTCATCTTCCTGAATCTTTTCTTCCGGTGGCTTCGCAGCTGCAACATTGGGTACATTCTTGCCGTTCACAACAAATTCTCCATTCAAAGACAAGTGCAAATCTCAGCCAATGGTTATGCCGATGACCTCGCGCTTGTAGGCAGAACACACTCTGAGGCTCAGTGCTACCATGCTGCAAATGCTGGCGACTTTCCTGGCATACTACGATATGGAATTGAGTCCCACCAAATGCGGCTACCAGTTCCGCAACCCAAACCCTTTAGACAGGCCACCTCCCGGCCTCACCACCCAATGGGGTCCAATCCCCACACTTTTTCAAAACGAAACCTACAAATACCTCGGGTACCACGCAAATATTAATCTAACATTCACTCACCAGCATCGCAGCCTAGTTGAAAAGCTAGAAGAAGCCAGCCGTAAACTCTTATCACGACAAAAACACAACATGACATTGAGCGAAGCGATACTCTACACAAATTCTGACGTCGCCTCCGTCCTTCGCTACAGGATGTATCTCGTATCCTTCCCGCAGAAATACCTGAAAAAGTTCCAAACAATCCTAGCTCGCACCGCAAGATCGCTAGCAAAACTAGCGTCATCCACGCCGAATGATCTGCTAATCAGCCAAGGCCTAATGAACCGTTTACTCCTTACAGTGCGACCCGAACAGACTTTGCGACCTCACTCTTTGAAACTGTGGATGATCCATGCCGAGTTTCGACTGAAATAGCCTATTCTAATATCCGCTCTGACTCACCGTTCAATGATACATGCCCCTTCAGCAAGACCGGACTCTCCACCCCATACCGGGAAAGCCGCCTCCCACCCTTCTTCAGGGAATCCGCCCCTCCCTGCGGAAGACCAACACAACTCTGTGCATCAACATCAACCCGGAACCAGGCAAAGACGACCGAAGTATTGTCTCAACATTATCGCATGTCTTGACGAGGTACCAGAAAGATATAGAAGCAGCCAAGTTTTCCCCAACCACTGCCAGGTCACTTTTTAAACAAACTAAGTGCTCAGGACATGACACACCTCGATGACATCTCCCCCCTCTTCTCGGGATCCCTCTGGCTTATCTTGATCCACACAGAACGACAGCTCCAGCCGAACGCTGGGAAGGTGATAAAGGCCGCCCCATAAGAGCCCCAGCCGAAATACTGCAAAAAGTGGCAGACCGCCGTGACCGCCACTGGCAGACCGTGCTCCACAGTAATATCAAGTCCCGTTTGAAACTTACTGAGCCCCAGGCCCGCCTGCTCAGTGGCCTTGTCTCTCTCACATGGACCAAGTCCTCCTCAGAACATGCACCAACCACCCTGCTAGTGACCATACTGAAACGCCCCTTTTTTGGGGGCCAACCCGAAAACACGAGCTGTCCCACCACACAGTATACACGGACGGAAGTGCTAACGAGGCCAACACCCTTGCTGGTTGCAGCATTGTTTTCAAGGAAGATGAGACCTTATGCGTGGCCAAAACCTTTAAAAGCCGCATCCCAGGCGATCAGACTATCAGTCGAGCAGAAGCTTTTGGCGTCTTGGGGGGCGCTACTTCTCACAAGGCAAGACTCTCCTCTCACAATTCATTGCGACCGCAAATCCTTGTTTGACCAGATCAACAAATTGCGGACAAACCCGCCATCCAAACACCTTATACGAAAAATCGATACAATGCCGGTGGCGGCTAAGAATTCCAGATTCAGGACATCTAATAGACATCAATTTCAGCCCTTAAATGGTATATTCAAGATTCAGATACAGCGGCTATAGGCTATGAGCAATATGCTATGCCCGGCGCACCCCAAGGCCCGGCCGACTTGTTCAGAAATTCAGGGTTCAGAAGGAACCCGAATGGACTTGAAACGAAGGCCGGTTCAGCGGAGGGCCGGGCCCGGGGCCGCGGCCACCCTAAGGCCCGGTCCGTTTGTTCAGAAATTCAGGGTTCAGAAGGAACCCGAATGGACTTCGAATGAAGGCCGGTTCAGCGGATGCCCCGGGGCCGCGGCCACCCCATTGAAGGCTCGGTCCGTTTGTTCAGAAATTCAGGGTTCAGAAGGAACCCGAATGGACTTGAAATGAAGCCCGGCCGGGCCAGCAAAGCCCTCGGGCCGCGGCCATCCTAAGGCCCGGTCCACAGGTTCAGAAATTCAGGGTTCAGAAGGAACCCGAATGGATCTGAATTGAAGCCCGGCCGGTTCGCGGTACCCCCCGGGGATCGGGGTACCGCACCCGTTCCCCAATCCCGGTCCACTTGTTCAGAAATTCAGGGTTCAGAAGGAACCCGAATGAACATGAATTGAAGCATGGTTCGCGGTACCCGGGTGATACCGCACCCCTCCCAGTCCGGGTCGACTTGTTCAAAAATTCAGGATTCAGAAGGAACCCGAATGTACATGAATTGAAGCACGGTTCAGCTTGTACCCGGCGCCGCGCCGAGTGCGCCCCGGTCCCCTTGTTCAAAAATTCAGGGTTCAGAAGGAACCCGAATGGACCGGAACTGAACCCGGCACGAGATCCACCCTACATTGCTAGTCGATTTTAATGTTTAGCATGGTCCCGAGCAGCCATGATTTTACCTCTTGCCACCCCTTTTTTTTAAATGACGAGTCAGATTAGCACTGATTGCTACTCGGTATTGATGTTTAGCATGGTTCCGTGTTGCCGTGATTTGCTTTTCGCGAGGTCATTTAATGTACATCAATGGATAAATGTTGAAATCCACGAAAAGGAATAATTTTCCTTACAGTGAGTGTGAGCATCGTACAGCCGGTAGGGACCGGCATACCAGTAGTGAACGATTTGTACCAGTAATTCGCGAAGTCCGGGGAGTCGGGGACCCGGGTGTGCTGCCCAAGAGTCACCCCCTCGCGGACAGTGCCACTTCGTCATCCCCTGCTGTACGCGAGCCCGCGCGCGCGCGGAAGGAGTTTCGCGCGGCGGCCGGCGACCGAGAAGATATTTGGGTGGCGTTCAGGCGTCGACGGCGACGATGAAGACCACCAGTAGTTAGAGTCGTAGATTTGGTGCTAGTCCCGGTTCTGG